TGGACAGCCCCCTGTGGAAGCTGCTTTTTAGACTAGAAGGCTGGAACTCCAACTTCCCCCAAGTCCGCGCATATGAAGAAGCGCAGAGACAGAAACGCGCAGAATTCAAGGAGAAGGAGCGAAAGACGCGACACAGAGCCGCCGAGGATACCGACTATGGCAAGCCATCCCATAAGAAGCGCGTGCGGGAACGACAGTTGTTTGGCGACGGCGTCGCGTCAGAAAATGGCACGCAGATAGCAGCAGGATCGGGTTCTACTAGCAACGTGTGGGGCGAGCAGCACGGAGCAGTTGAGGCTGACGACAGTCCGTCTGTCAAGTCAGAGGACAAGATGGAGGGCATCTCATTCCATGGCGCGTCGCCTACAGCATCGCCTGCTGCTGTAGCACGCAAGGAAAGAAGACAAGACGCTTCGTCTGAAGAAATATCGCCCGCGCTCGCAGCAGCAGACACGAACGGACCTCCCATACACCCGTCACTCCTGCTCCCTGGCCCGGAAGCCAGGATCAACTGGCAATACCTTTACAAGCAGAAGAGGAGGTTAGAAGAGAACTGGAGCACCGGCCGTTATTCCAACTTCCAACTACCACACCCGAACCACCCAGAAGAAGCTCATACCGAATGTGTGTATACTATACAGTATTCCGGGAAGTACCTGGTCAGCGGCAGCAGGGACAAGAGCATCAGAATCTGGAATCTGGATACCCTTCGCTTGGTACATCCACCACTCACTGGTCACCAAGCTTCCGTTCTGTGCTTACAATTCGACGAACGCCCTGATCAGGACATTGTTGTGTCAGGTGGCAGCGACTGCAAAGTTATCCTTTGGAAGTTTTCAACCGGACGTATCATCAAGGAAATCGAAAGGGCACATTCGGAGTCGGTTCTGAATCTAAGATTTGATGATCGCTACCTGGTCACATGCTCCAAAGACAAGACGATCAAGGTCTGGAATCGCAAGGAGATGATGCCAACGGACGACACGTACCCCTCATCTACCATGAAGTCGAGCGCTCGGTTCCCTTCCTACATCATCAACATGCAGGAACACGTTGAAAACCAACACCTTAATTTCAAACCCCTCCTTCCATACAGCCTCATGATGACCCTAGAAGGCCATGGCGCTGCAGTCAATGCCATCCAGATTCTCGACGGGCAAATCGTCTCAGCATCTGGAGATAGGAGCGTCAAATGCTGGGACGTCCGCACCGGTGCATGCACAAGGACATTCTCAGGTCACACAAAGGGCATTGCCTGTGTTCAATTCGACGGACGACGCATTGTCAGTGGAAGCTCAGACGAAAGCGTACGCATCTTCGACCGCGCGACAGGAGCTGAAGTGGCCTGTCTGAACGGCCACAGTAATCTTGTGCGCACCGTGCAAGCTCAGTTCGGCGACCTTCCTGGCAACGAAGAAGAGCTTGAAGCCGAAGCGCGGTCTGTTGATCGAAACTACTTTGCAGCACAGGCTAGTGGTCTGCTCGCTGATCAAAACCTTACCCGGGCTGAGCGACGTGCTCGCAACGCTGGTTCCCGCGACCCATCCAAGATATTCGCCTACGGGGCTAAACTCCCACCGGGCGGCGGCGGCAGCAAATGGGCCCGCATCGTCTCAGGCTCGTACGACGAAACAGTCATCATCTGGAAGAGAGGGCCTGATGGAACCTGGGAGAAATCTCAGACACTTCTACAGAACGATGCGGTTCGAGCTGCTGGCGGCCGCCCACGAAGACCAGTCAATCATGCTGCCAACGCGAATGCGAACCACGGTGCCCAACACCACAACCAACCAGCTAATGCCCAAGCTCCTGCGCAACAGAACAACTTTCAGGCTCTCGCACAGCAGGCTCAGGCCCAGGCTCAAGCAGCTCAGACATTGGCCCTGCAAGCCAATGCCCTCCATGCAGCATCCCAAGCAATGCATGGTCCGGCTGCCAACAACGCAAACGCAAACGCAGCTACCCACAACGCGGCTGGAAACAACGCAAACGCTGCAAACGCAACAGCAGCACAAGGCGCCGCAGGCCCAGCTAATGCCGCGCCACACCACCACCATCACCATCACCACCACCCTCCTCACCCGCTCGCCGCACCCCTCAACGCCAACAATGGCACAAACTCACGAGTCTTCAAACTCCAGTTCGACGCCCGCAGGATCATCTGCTGTAGTCAAGATCCGACGATCGTTGGGTGGGACTTTGCCAATGGTGATAAGGATATTATGCTTGCCAGTCAGTTCTTTGGCGACTCTTACTAGGGGTGGGAGGACAAGAGGTATGGCTCGTATGTACTCTGAGTGTTTGGAGTTTTTGTGAAGGGGCACGAGTGTGTTCAGAATATTGATGATGGGGTTAATGTTTGTTGTATTATGAGTTATGTACATAGCGTTGCGTTTGGCATTGCATTGGGGAAATAGGCTCTCTGCAAATAGCGTTTATTGTGGCTTGTTAATGAAACATTGAATTACCTTCATGTTTTGGGTTTCAGCTGATCACTGAGTTTCATTGGTGCCACGGTTGATATTGATTGGCGCCGTGTACGCCAGAACGCCATCAAAGTGGCTGTGCTCGCCCTAAGCCTTGACTCAAGTCCTAGTATATGAATCCGTCCACACTTACCATGGGCGTGAGCCTACATTCACGAACATCAATGTCAATCTCCATATGCCTATAATCATAATCCGAAAAAATGACCTACCTAACCCGGTTCTGGCGGTGGACTTCCAGCCTCAGCTCACTCCCGCTTCGCCTGGATAAATGGCTGATTCCTCTTCCGGCTGGATGGAAATTGTCGTTTGGGATCTGGATGAGATATACGGTGGACGGCCCAGGAGCTCCACCTTCACTCGCTTTGGTACATCTTCTTATATCACACGATAGCCTGCAACTGACGTTCTAGAATGGTGAAGAACGACACCAGCTCCATCCACCCCTGGTCGGATCTTATAGTGCAATTCGTTTACTTCAACTCTATCCTGGAAAGGATGGAGACCCAATTCGAGTCTCCTTGTTCTCAACGCAGGTGGGAGACCATCCTTCCTACAAAGCGATTTCTTACGTGTGGGGATCCTATGAGGATAAAGTCGAAATTACGGTTGATGGGCATGCTTTCTTCATCACCAAGAACCTTCACGATGCCCTCGAAGACCTAAGAGACTCAGTCACGATAGGCGTTTTTTGGACGGACCAATTGTGCATAAACCAAGCCAATCATCAGGAGAAAATGTCTCAGGTAGCGGTTATGGGGAGCATCTATCACTTTGCAACCACTGTTGTTGTATATTTGGGCCCATCTACGGAGCAAAGCGAGACAGAGATACGAGACCTGCGTTCTTTCATCGAACCTCATGCCCCGGATGAAGAGGCCCCGTGGTCACACATTGGAATACATAATCTTGAAAGAAGCATAGCCAGCATTCTTGCCAGACCTTGGTTCGAACGAATTTGGACAGTACAAGAGGCAGTGCTGGCCCGGCACATGATCTTGCAACTTGGCCGGGATCAAGTTAGGTGGCTTTGCGATCTGAAGACCTTGAGAGCTTTGATATTTCGTATCAAGACTGCAGTCATATCGCCAGTCTTCACTCTCCGCTATGGTCCCCCAAGCAAACTGGATTGGACGCCTTTGCTCTACATCCTAGAATCACAGATGAGGCAAGCGGCGCGTCGAGAGAATGTAATTGTGCTTCGAAATCTATGCGATATAGCATTTGACTTCAGAGACCGATACTCAACTGATCCACGCGATAGATATTTCGCTATCATGGGGATTTATGAGCATTTTGAAGGAGACGGGGTACGTCAACAGTTGGGCCATTATATGAATTACAAGATGAGTGCGGATGAGGTATATCGACGTTTCAAATTCGCTGTTCAAAGTGGGAGTGAAATAGAGGATGTTCCACTTGAATGAAACCAGGACGTGCTGGCTACTGCTCTTTCTTGCACAGCGGAAATAGACATTTAGAAAGGAAAACCCCAAGAACTCTACGAATCGTCGTAACGGATAAATCAGCCTGCAAGCTGCTTGCTTGTCTTGATAATGTTCCGATGATTGGACCTCAGGGAGAACGTAACAACAAACCTAGTTCATAAGAAGAGAACGAAACGACTAGAGCAGCCAAGAACTCTGGATTCAGGCCGACTTCTGTCGAACTCTGACCTCTTCGCAAGAACCCATCGTTGTGTCATGAAGATCAGATCATATGTGACGCGTCTGGATGCGCGTCATCGGAGGGATGCTAGGATGCCAAGTCTGATCGGCACTAAGCACCCCTGCGGCTCAGTAGCGTGGGCGGACCTGGAGCATCGGAAGCCGCGCCTACGCCAGGCTGACAGCACTCAAGATGGACTCTGTCTGCAGCTTTCGTTTGCCCTGTACATGTTCGACCTGTCATTCACAGTAATCTTCTGTTGATATCCCAAATATCTTCCTGCAATATATTACTTGTCATGCGCGCCTAGCGATTCCCCGATTTACCCGCGAATTCAACGAGAGCTGAATGCACGATGGTTGCCAGAGCTGCTTCAGGAACCCTGGGTGGGGTGTCGATGAAGCACCTGTCCCTTGTGACGGTGCGCATATCTTTGTGTCCATGTTCGGTATATGCGCGTAAGCTAATGCTTTCACAGCTTACCTTCCAGAACTCCGCCCTCATCTTGGTACGGCTACCCTTCATGGCGAACGACGACCCACGCGCAAGCAAAAAGCGCACTCACGATGCAAATTGTGTATACGAAGGACCGGAGCGTGTCAGTGGCTGACGCGACATCAGATTATGCATTACTCAAGGGTAATGCCTCTGGCTGGAGAGCAAAGATATCATGCAAGCACAAGCGTCTTTTTGAATGAAGTGATCAAGCTCGCTATAAGCTTGACTATGGTATGGCAGTGGTATGGAAAGGCATGGTTGCTGTCAGGCTCACAGTACCCATAGGCATTATACGAGATGTCCGGCAATCTTCCTTCGAACACGACCGTCCCGACCTTGTTCCGCACCATGACGACCGCGATGTTCACGAACGAGAGCTGGAAGCTTGCGATACCCGCTGTTCTATACACGATACAAAATTCCCTTCAATATGTTGCTGTCAGCAATCTGGATGCTGCAACCTTCCAAGTTACCTACCAACTCAAGATTCTGACGACGGCTATCTTCAGCGTTTTGATGCTAGGCCGACGCCTCTCGACACGCCAATGGTTATCTTTACTACTTCTCATCATCGGCGTATCTATTATACAAGTACCGCAAGCGACCGCGCCTTCAGCCACACCAGGGTCAGGATCGTCGTCATGGACTAAGACACTGGAGCAACTACATGATCTAGGCGAGAATGTCGCTGGGCGGGTCTTGAAGCGGTCTGGCTCATATGAGGGTATACACGAGGATCGTGCAGCTCAGGTACCTCGCATGAATAGTCGGGTTGGGCTCTTAGCTGTTCTGATCTCCTGCGCTCTCTCCGGCCTAGCTGGAGTCACCTTCGAAAAGATACTGAAAGAATCATCGAGCGCAAAGCTGACACCGCTCTGGGTGCGCAACTGCCAGCTCTGTTTTTGGTCACTATTTCCTTCGTTATTCTTGGGTGTTATTTGGAAGGACGGAGAAGTGATAGCAAAGACTGGGTTCTTCGTTGGTTACAACTGGGTGGTTTGGACGGCCATTGGCTTTCAGGCAGCCGGTGGTGTCATTGTTGCGCTCGTCATTAACTATGCGGACAACATTGCGAAGAACTTCGCGACGTCGATTTCGATTCTGCTCAGTTGTATGGCCAGTGTGTACTTCTTTGATTTCAAGGTGACGCGATCGGTAAGTTTGCAGCAACACAGTAATGTTGATGATGCTAATAATTGGTAGTTCTTCATGGGCACCTGTGTCGTGCTGCTCGCTACCTATCTCTACACCAAGCCTGAGCGGGGCTCGCAATTGCCTCCAGTTAGAATTGCCGACTTCGAGAAGACCACAGTCGATCGCACGTATGATGCAGATATGCCTCGGAGCCCCACAGGCTATAGTAATGTCCCTAGATCGATGCCAGAATCACCTACGATAGAACGGCATTCCCATAAGCGAGAAGCTTGAGCGCCAATAATTCAGCAATATGCATTTATAGAGCAAATACGCTACCCGGTGGCAACTAACAAATGCTCTTACATATCAATGATTGGGATTGCTGATGACTGAAAATCGCTTGTGGCATACCGTGAGGTTCTACTCTGACACGTCAGGCTGCGACTTCCTCCATCGTCACTTCCCTTCACGTCCCGACTCTCACCTCACTTTTCTTCCTATCCAGAATCTCACCCCTGCTTCCCCTCTGACATGAATAGCTATATCTAGCAGTCATGGGCGACAGGTATCATCTGTCTAATCACCCCCAGCGGCTGGGCGCTCCCCGTCGCGCATCGCAGTACGACGCCCTTCGGCCCCAATACAGACAGCCAGAAAGACAGATCGCTCTTCGAGACCGCTATCGTGCCACTCAGCACGAGCGTCCCATATACGACGTGGTGGAGGATGATGATGATCTGTATGATCATGGTCCCCAACTTGACTCATTTGGTATGTGAGCGTCTCACTTACGGTTTTGCTTTGCTGAAATTGTACAGACAACAGACTGCTCCAACAACCGGTCCCCAATCGTCAGCAACAAGCTGTATTAGGCAGGACGCGACTGTCTTTTGCACCTGGCCAGTCCACGTTCATCAGCAATGCAGCGCCCAGTCAACCGCAGCAGCCTTTCCATGCTCATAGAAATACGACATATGATGATGATGAAGGTACTTTCAATACTGGCCCCAAAAATGCAGCTACTGATCGAGAAGCTGAATATCACCTGCGGCCCAAGAAAATCGTGCAGGGTCAACTAAGTGAGTTCATGCCATCGCGTTGAAAGCCAACGTCACACTGATCGCTATCCAGGTCGTTTCGTCCACAATCCTGCGCCCTTCCCAGAAACGAGTTCAGATGTACCACTCGGCCGCTCATCCAGCCCAGCGTTCAAGGCAAGCCAGAGGTGTGCTAAGCAAGTCATTCCCACCACACCCCAACGCGAAGCAGAACCTCAACTCTTCGAGGATAAATTCCAATCCCCTGATGAGGACTATCGACAGCAGTATCAGCACCCTTGCAAACAGCATGTTCAAAATGGCTTGCGACCAAGAGAAGATGTTGACCTTCAATATCTTCAACATCGTCTTCCAAAGCCGCAGCCAAACCCATTGCATCTGTCTCATGCTCCTCCCACGTGTCAGGGCATTCGTCTCGTCCCTGTCGCAACTCTACCCAGTCGTCTTCGGACTGTGTTTCCCTATCCAACTTTCAATGCCGTACAATCCAAATGTTTTGAAAGGGTGTTTAATACCGACGACAACTTTGTGCTTGCATCTCCTACGGGAAGCGGAAAGACTGTCATCCTTGAGCTCGCCGTGTGTCGCGCTGTTGCCACCAATGCAACGGGTCAATACAAGGTGGTCTACCAAGCACCGACCAAGGCTTTGTGCTCCGAGCGCCAACGTGACTGGGAAGCCAAGTTCAACCAGCTCGGGCTCAAGTGTGCTCAGCTGACCGGCGACAGCGACGCAGGGGATCTTCGCAACGTGCAGAGTGCCAATATCATCATAACTACACCCGAGAAGTGGGATAGCATGACTAGGAAGTGGAAAGATCATGAGAAGCTTATGAGATTGATACGAGTGTTTCTCATCGACGAAGTCCATATACTCAGAGAAGATCGCGGTGCCACACTTGAGGCGGTCGTGTCGCGGATGAAGTCCATAGGCACGGGCGTTCGCTTTGTAGCTTTGTCGGCAACGGTGCCCAACTTGAATGACATCGCCGCATGGTTAGGGAAGAATTTTTCTGCATTGGATACTCCGGCTGCCAACGAGAAATTCGGTGAAGAGTTCCGGCCGGTCAAATTGCAAAAATATGTTCGAGGTTACAATACCAGCTCCACCAACGATTTCGGTTTTGAGAAGGTGCTCGATGCCAGGATCCCTGAAGTCATCGCTAGCTACTGTAAGCGGAAGCCTATAATGGTTTTTTGTGCGACCAGGAACTCTACGGCCAACACAGCAAAGCTCATTGCGAAATGGTGGGACTCGTCGTCTGGCAGGAATCGAATGTGGGAACCGCCCTCCAAGCTACCTGCGCTCTCTAACAAAGAGCTTCTGGAAATTGTGGCTTCAGGTGTTGCTTTCCATCACGCAGGGCTTGATCTGGACGATCGGATGCAGGTTGAGAAAGGTTTCATTGCTGGCGAGATCAATGTCATTTGTTGCACTTCAACGCTTGCAGTTGGTGTCAACCTACCCTGTCATCTCGTCATCATCAAAAATACGATGTCTTGGGGTGCGGAAGGACTTCAGGAGTATTCAGATCTGGAGATGATGCAAATGCTTGGGCGCGCAGGGCGGCCCCAATATGACGACTCAGCAGTAGCGGTTATCATGACTCGACAAGCAAAAGTTCGCCGTTACGAGAAGTTGGTAACTGGCCAAGATCTTATCGAAAGCAAGCTCCATCTCAACTTGGTGGATCATATGAACGCCGAGATCGGACTGGGAACGATCAGCGACCTACAGTCGGCCAGAAAATGGCTCAGAGGCACGTTTCTCTACGTCCGGCTCCAGCAGAACCCCAACTTTTACAAGCTAGATGGCTCCCGAAGTGGTCAGAGTATCGAAGAACAGGTCGATGATATATGCTTTCGTGACATTACCCTCCTGCGCGAGACCAATCTCATATCTGGCGAAGAGTACTTTAGATCTACAGAGTTTGGTCAAGCTATGGCACGATACTACGTTAACTTCCACACTATGAAAACATTCATGGGGCTTGGATCAAAGTCCACACCTTCTGAGATAGTAAGTAAGACCGCAGTAACGCAACTATCATGCTCGCACTGACCATTCCGTACAGCTCTCAGCCATGGCTCAAGCTACCGAGTTTTCAACCATACGTTTCCGGCAAGGCGAGAAATCCTTTTACAAACTGCTAAATAAGTCGCCTTCAATCCGTTGGCCCATTCCTGTCAACCTTGATCTCCCGGCCCAGAAGGTATCCCTCATCATCCAGTCTGTCCTCGGATCCGCCGTTATCTCATGGGACGGCGAGGCGGGCAAACACCGCTCGCAATACGTAACTGAGACACATATCATCTTCAAAAACATCAGTAGTCTTGTGCGATGTATTATTGACTGCCAGATCATCTTAACGGACTCAGTCAGCATTCACAGTGCTCTTATGCTCGAGAGAAGTTTAGGAGCGAGGATTTGGGATGACAGCCCACTACAGATGAAGCAGATCGACACTATCGGCGTTATCGCGGTCAGAAAGCTTGTCAACGCTGGCTTGAGATCTATCGAGGACCTTGAAGGTTGTGAACCTCACCGGATCGAAGCGCTCGTTGGCAGAAATCCACCGTATGGTCTCACTATACTTGATATGGTCCGGTCGTTCCCAAAGCTTCGCGTGTCGCTTCATGCCCAGCCTGCGACTGTAAGTCTGCGTGTCTGTTGTGCTTTACGCTATCTAATGAATTCCAGGTGATCACATCTCACGACGGAGTGAGAATTCAGATCAAGGCAGATATTGGCTTCATCAACGAACAGCCGCCGCGGCGCTTCAACGATAAGTTGATCTATGTGTGTCTTCTGGTTGACACCTCGGATGGTCGCAAGATACATTTCGCACGTATCAGGTATGTATTCACTATGTCGGTATCGTAATATACTAATCTCTGTTGCAGTGGTCCAAAGCTCGGTTCAGGTCAAAGCATCACAGTCCCAGCTCTCTTAATAAGCCCAGATCAATCTATCAACTGTTATGTTATGTGTGATGGCATAGGCATGTACCGTCTCTCTTGGGCAGTGAAAGTAACTGACATCCGCCAGCTTGCAGTATGCGTGTTGCCACCATCAAGCCTAAGATAGCTGCCTCCATGTTTCCGTCATTGAACACTCACAAGTCAGACGTTGCGATGTCACATCAATCCAACGTATCGAAGCGTCGTACTGAAATTACCAGACCATGTCGAAAGCCGACAGCTACCAGCGAGGACTTTGGAGATGGTGACTTGGACGACGACACACTTGTAGGTGCCTCTCTCTGTGGTTTCGACTTTGACCAGATCGAAAACTATGCCGACCCTATCGCAACGGTTTCACAAAGGAACACCGAGAAGAGTAAGCCAGCCAAGACTAAAGACACTGGAAAGAGCAAGAATGCTACACAGCCGCTCGATGCTGCACCTGGTGACAAATACGAAGAACCGGTACAGCTAGCCAATGGCAAGTGGGCATGTAATCACGCGTGTAAAGATCGGCTTGCTTGTAAACACCTTTGTTGCAAGGATGGTATGGACAAACCACCGAAGAAGAAGGCCACGGTCAAACGCGTTCCATCAGGAGAAGATCGGCCGGAACCAACGCAGAAAGCACCATTTTCGAAAGGCAAACAAACCCAGACCAAGCTCCAGCTTACAGCATCCAAGCGAAAGGTCTCAGCGTCTATTGATGAACTCGATCTTACACAACAAGAGAAGAAGCAAAAGGCGAACTTCGGCATAAACGGCCCAAGAGATTATCGTGGCCTACATCAGCTGCACAAGACTGTCCAGGGTAAAGAGCTGCCTACTTCATTGAATTCCGTCATGTACAAGAAACCTACCTACTGCTATTCTCAAGGTGGTGAGCATGGCCTTGACTTCATGAGTTCTACAGTCGAACGGCCACCGACTTCAAGCGACTACGGAGACTTTTTGAGCGACGCACAAGAGTATGAAGACTTCATGGGAAATGAGGCTGCAGAACCAATGTGCGAATCAGATACCTTTGGAGACGATAACTCCATGGTAGAAGACGCTATGATCGGCCTTGCAGACTCTCGGGATCTACAAGCGGTGCGTGAGAGTGAGGGTGATATCATGCGGTCTTTTGAGAATGCTCTCGATGATGCAGACGGCATGCGCTATGGTCAAGACGGCAACCCCATGGATGTCAGCTTGGGAGATCGTAACGATCGAGGCAAAATCGTTCCTGTAAACCACGATGAATCGCACAAAGCATGTGTCGGTGAATCTCCATTACTTTTTGTTGGCGACACGAGCAGCCCTCAAGTTGAAATCGCAGACATATTTGACATGCTCGATGAGAAGCTGGCTAAGGATTCATCAGTCGACGAGAAGCCGGTACTTGAAGCATTCAAAGATCTTGAACCATGGATATTCCAAGAGTTCGGCGATATCGTAGAGCTCGTTGATGAATGAGAGCATTGTTTGAAGATACTGTGACGCGATAGGAGGGCAACATGGGCGAATGCGTATGTGTATGTTTGTATCGGAGATACAGTAAGTGGTGTTACACGCGTCTTTCGGGTACTGACAATGCCATTGTTTCCAAATTCTAGCCGTACTTTTCTTTGTTGTATCTATCTACGCTACCAAACGACATCTAACAGTGCCATTCTGGGAGACGAAAGAGTGGGGAACCCAATAGCTGGAATTTCCCATGATCCTGTAGTACTTGAAAACAACGTTCATCTTAATTTTCAGCATAATTGTGGTATACACCCGTCACATAATAAGATCTCATCGCAATGAGTAACCTCTCTTCACCGGCACCGCCTAGTGCTGTATCAGCACCTAGCCCCGAATCGTCACCACCACGTAGACTGAGCTCTACGCCCCCTGGATCCCAGTCCGAAAGAGCTAGCGTAGCCTCAACATCGCAGACGGAACCTCCCGAACACTGCGACCACTTCATTCACTGCCGTGCCTTTGGAGGTCCTCAAGGTAATACTTTGTGTGACGTGAGTTGGGCGTTTTTATGTCCTAGTCTTCATCCATTTCGCCCAACGCCACCATCTAAATACGGCACTATACATCCTCACCCTGGCGAGGTCTGGGTCTGCGCTTACTGCATGGATCATGATACTGCTGCATGTCTTCCTAGCCATTTCACTAACTAACTCGAGCCTATAACAACGCTCGCAGATGCCAATTATCAATCAGGCTTTCGTAATCAGCTTTGCCACCGATGCATCCGCGATGAGGTCGAGCTCTACTGGTTGCGCCAAGGGACACCAGTGCCTCTGATAAAACCGGGAGGGGATACTAAACAATGTGTGGCACAATGGCCGATTGCGCCGAATAGTCTACAAGACCTTTGCATCTGCTATAGGTTGGGTATTACTCAGTTCCAATTTCGTTGTCATGCATGCCGCGACGAAGGTTTTCGAGTGAATAGTTGGGCTCGTTACAAACTCGCCGAAGACATTCTGACCAGTCGCGACAAGAAGGTCATTACAGGCAACATACGCTGCCACAAGAACGGCGGAACCGGTAGACACTTTCGAAAAGGCATACCTTACGGGCCTGTCACGGACAGGATAGCGAATGCCGGTCTCCGTCGTAGATGTCTTTGTGGCGAGAAACCCAAGGCGCAAAGCACCCTAGAATATATCACCTTTTGTCTGGGTTGCTCAGGCGTGCGTATCGATCCTGCGAATCTACCACCACATTTACAGTACGATAACGTCATGGCGGGAATTGAAAAGAAGAGAGGAATGAGATTGAGCACGCAGAGGCTTAGAAAGGCGGAAAAGGGGGGGACGAAGGGGACTAGGAAGGCAAGGAGGAGGCATTTGTTCAGGGGTAATATTGAGAGCGCATGGATTGCTAGGAGATTTAGAGGCGGAGGCGGAAGGAGAGGCGATCATTGGGCTGGGGGGTTCTAGAATCAGTAAAGCTGAAAGGGTGGGAAAAGCGATGCGCTGGCAACGACAAGGTGAGTACGAAGTAGCAAGATAGCGATGGCCGGTGAAGCAGCATCTAGGATTATCATAGATTGTTGACAGCGTCGGAAGAATATTCAGGTAGACTGCGACGTCATCGCGATGTAAATGTAGAACATACTATGTGCAGGTATTATTGGTTGTTCAGTGACTGGAATACACCGCCTTTACTCTACTATGAACGAAGCAGTGCTGACTGCAATAATGCAAACAACGCCGTAATAATCTACCATTCGACTTCCCAATCCTTCACAATACATAACCGAACTGCCCTCAAATATCCATTGCGCATCCCAAAAGAAAACAAAGCAGGAAGCAATTGATCGAGGGAGAAGACGCAACAGTAGCGCCACTCATACCTAGAATCGGTTTTCGTTGCAACATAACACCAAGTTGCGCAAGATGCCGTATCAACCACGCAACAAGTTTCGTAACAATAGAATGACAAGAAGAGCAATCTGAAGGGCTCTCTCAGTAAGCGAAAATCGAGAAGAATGGCCAGTAGAGCATCCACGTTGCGAAACTCCTCCCTACACCCGGCAGCGTTATGGACTCCATGTGTAAGCCAGCCTTTTCAAGCGGCTACGATCATGTAAAGCCAGGGTGAGTGGGAGATGGTGACGTGGACTGCCGTCCAGATATCATCGCCGATGTTTCTAACCTAGATGTGATCTTCGACAGCGCGCGTCTCAATGGAAGGACCAGCGACTGACGGCTGCTTGCATTCATGGACAGTACCATTATCGCAACCGTAAATGCCATCTGGATTGTAAATGCGACCTTCGAAGGCATGAACTGGCTGTGGTGGAGTACAGAAACTCTCTTCCGCGTGCGAAAATGAGGTACGAGTTGAGCAGGTTAGCTCAGGTGTCGCGTGTTCGTTGTTGATCTCGATACTACAAGACACTGCGTTTGGGTCAGTCAAGGTGCGTGTTTGATTCACGAACGTGTATGTTACCTCTAGCAGTAGGTGAGAGTGCGATTTGAGAGTTGATGGGTGAGTGCGACAGACTGATCAATGCAGTAACAGCGTCAACTTCTTTTGCTTCCATCTTCTTAACATCCTCCTCCTCTATAGCCGCTTCCTGCATTTCAGCATCTTCAGGGTCCGGCAGATGCGAAAGAAAGTGCCGCCAGTCCTCAAGATGATCTGCATACTCTGACTCGCATTCGACACCTTTGGCCGCCATCTCCGCCTTCATAGTCTTGTATTCCTCCATCATCTTGAACGTAATCTTGGGCATGTACGTATCTCCTGACTTGCCAAAAACACAGTTGTTGAGACGAGCCCTGAGTACAGGACACATGCGATTGAACTTTGAGGCAAAAGCGTTGGCTTCGCGTGCAGCACGAGGAGGAAGGTCATTTCCAGCCTTATCCTGGATGATAGTGCCCACGAAAGTCGCATTGAACGCATCGCGGACCTTTCTACTACCAGGGATTAAGAAACCGCGCTTACGCGACTCCACGATACAAAGTTGAAAGTATAGCTCAAACCAAAGCTCCTCTTTCTCGTACCACAAGCTGACGGAGCGGGCTTTGAGGCCGGCACGGCCGTAAATCTGGTTGCGCCAGGCATTGATCTTGCTGATGTGGTGGGCGGAGTTCCAGTCGATCATTGAGTGAGGTATCTTGCGGAAGTGGAGCTCTGTGACTCTGTTGGTGGTGGAGCAGTCACAGACCATACGGAGGAGGGATTCATCCTTGTGGCCAATGCTGGCCTTTTTGCGGGTGCCACGTGGGACGAGAGTTGATTTAAACCCATACGATTTGGAAGCGGTCGCGAGAGCCTTCTTGGAGCTTGTTGATGTCTTGTTTGAAGTTGGCTTTGTCTTATTGGCTGATGGTATAAGAGCTGGGCCGGCGTTGTGCTCATCGGCGGAGCGTTTGCGCTTATTCGCGGAAAGAGGAGTGAGCACGGGTGGTAGTTTCTGGTCTGTCTTAGTCTTCTTCGATACGTATTGAGCGGAAGAATGGGTTGCTGGCTCCCGGCCGATCTCGTCTCGCTTCGAAAGCATCTTGATCACTTGGGAGGGGTGGATGGCTTAGTCAAAGACAGCAGGCTTAGGGCGTCGTGGACTGTTTGCGATAGGAAATTGACAGAAAGTTCTCGATGATGCTCAAGAAATTGTGCGTAGCTAGTAGTGGTGGTTGCGAGGTTGAGATACTGCAACTGTTGTTGTGATAACAGAAATCTAGAATAGAGACGAGGTGCAGGATGGAACCAAGCTTGAGAGATATATGACAACGCGTAGTGACTTGAAGATTTTTCATGGGAGTGTTTGAGGTGAAAGGGAGTGCAAGGGCGCGCAGTGTATGTGTCGTTGACACTCCTCGACGTCGCCAGGGCGCCAACAGCGCTGGTTGTTGTCGCCCCACGATATAAAAGGTGAATGTGGAAGATAATAAGATAGATAGGGACCGGAAATATGGAAACAAACCAGCTGGCTGAGAGTTTACATACAGAGTAAAAGGGCTGTGGTGACTGCGCGCTTTCCACTGATATCACCCCAGCTGTTGCTTGCTGTCCACATTCACCTTCACTTTCACTGACACAACTGGAGAACAACCGCAGGTCTAGCGAGTCGGAAGTGTAAGCTGTTTTTTTAGGGGGCGACGCTTTGTTAGCACTGCAGTATCTATGTATCTCACTGAACTCTCGCACTATCATCGTATACCTCCTGGCCTGCCCTTTGCTTCGTAGCTTTTTTGCGCTTGTCTCGATAACATCATCGCGTATGTGACAATCATGTGCAAGGCGAAAGTACTCATGGCCTCTAGAGAACTCCGAGTTAACAGTAACTCGGGCTGTCTATAGCAACGCCACCTTAGGTGGTCGAGGGCACTCCCCAGCTCGTACTATGTCAGGGTAGGTATAGCGTAATGCTGGTCGGATGCGACGCCTGACAGAACCGAAAGATACGCATTCATGCAATCCTGGAACAGTCTTGTACTACCCATCAAATCAGATCCCGCGCCGATCAACACGGATCAATCTGAATCTGGACGCCTCCCGATGAAGGAGCTGCAGATGGGGGCAATTACGGATTACGCCCTGCATGCAGGGAGGAGCAGCCAAGTACAACCGCCCTTTAGCCCCCAAATCCTACGCCCGTCTCTTAAAGCAACGGCAACCCTCGCTGTCACGAGTCCACTATTGGCTGTTTCGTTCTTCTTATCTTTGGCCTCAGCGACGCGCAAGGATGAAGGCCGCGTGTGCCATATCGATTGGAGTTCTCGCTACAGGCGTTGCAGCGCAGACTGGCGGCAACGTTTTTGAGCCGCAGAACTTCAACATCAGCGCGGCTCTCGAAAACCTCGGTGTTGACGTACCAACCTTACCAAAGCCAGCAGATACACTCCATCCACGGTCTTCGGACGCACAGTGCTCACATGCTGTTAGTGTAACCGTCGCGCAACGATCTTGCAATATGGTGCGAGCTAACATTGGCTTCAGTGTGCCGCCTTAACCGTATTGTTCGGTAGTGATAAGATCTTGGCTGAAGGAGCAACGGCATATAGCGATTTCACAGGAGCATACTGGTCCGCTCAACAAGGCTCATTACGACCTTCATGTGTCTTTAAGCCTACGAGAACTCTGGACGTCTCAATATTGGTACTAGCAGCTAGACTGTACCAATGCCCTTTTGCCGTAAAAGGTGGCGGTCATGCGGCATGGGCTGGTGCGTCCAGCATCGAAGACGGAATCACGGTCTCGTTGGAAAACTTCAAGCAAGCCGTTGTTGCTGCCGACAAACAGACAGTCGACATCGGCCCTGGACTTCGATGGATAGATGTTTACAAAGCTGTCGAGAAAGACAGTCTCAGTGTTGCCGGTGGACGTGTAAGTATACGGATCTCCTCTCATCCTTTACTGGCTCTACTGACGATAGCATCAGATGGCTCCTGTAGGCGTGCCTGGGCTTATCCTTGGAGGAGGCATATCTCACTTCGCGAGCAAGCGTGGCTGGGCGTGTGATAACGTAGCCAGCTTTGAACTGGTTACAGCATCTGGCTTCGCCATCAACGTTAGCGCAACTTCTTACCCTGATCTATATTGGGCTCTGCGAGGAGGAGGCAACAATTTTGGAATCGTGACGAATTTCAAGCTTGACGCTTTCCCTCTTGGCCAGATGTGGGGAGGCCAGAGAGTGTACCTTGAGGATGCAACCCCAGCCGTGTTGGACGCGATTTATGAATTCACCGTGTCTGGATCCGTCAAGGACGAAGATGCCGCCCAAATTGTCGTAAGTTCACTTGGTTTGCTCCTATCGCGCAGGTGATTGACATGTGCAGACTTTCGCCAGCGCGCCTGGAACCGGCAAAGTTTCTTTCGCCAATCTGCACTACGCCAAACCGATTGCTAACGCTTCTGTTTTCTCCAGCTGGAGTAACATCACCGCCATCGATGATACCACCGACCTCCGACCAATGTCCGGGATGGCTGACCTCTTGAACCAGGGAGCGCCTGGGCCTGGGGCGTACCAAACGTGGTGGGGTATCAGTTTGAAGATGGACAGACCACTTCTTCAATTTATTGTCGATACATTTTACGCGCAGGAAGCAACTGTCGCGGGTGTCGAGAAGATCTTGCTCATTATGGCTGTTCAGCCCATTACCAAGAGCGCAGCCAAAGCCATGCAAAAGAATGGCGGAAATGCTTTAGGCATTGATCCAGAAAACGGCCCGTACTTTGTGCTTAATTTCAATGCGGCTTGGAACAACAAAGAAGACGAAGCCAAGTTCCACACGGTGATTGCCAACATCATCAACCTTGTGAAGGCGGAAGCGCAGAGGAGGAACCTCGATAACGACTTCGTGTATCTCAATTACGCGTCCGAGTACCAAGACCCGATTGGTAGCTATGGGTTGAAGAACAAGCAACGGCTAATGGAGATATCAAAGAGATACGATCCGAAACAGGTCTTTCAGTACCTCCAGCCTGGCGGGTTTAAGCTAGTGAAGGGCGCACCGAATCGAAACACACCCAATGTATCACTGGCGAGGGGTAACGAGCTTTGAGATGTCTGTAGGCGTATACGTGAACTACCAATTGTTATAAATGGTAGCAATTAGGGAAAGTGAAAGGACAGATTAGCTGCATATGTGGGCGAAAACGTTGCACAACCCAACCAATGTATCACAACTCTAGTTTCTTCCTCGATGCACCCAGCTCTCGCTGTTCGACTGTCGTCGTAGTGCTTCACCATGCTGGGGCCCCAATCGTGCATACTCAATGAGCGAGTTCTTAGTGTGACCGGTTTGGAGTGATATACACTGTTCGAGTGATCGATGATAAGGGAATAAAATTGGAAAGTGAAACCCCCTAATGAGATTGAAAGTATTCTGAATTTCACACGACTCGCGTCTTGATCAGAATATCAATGACGTAATTGAAGGAGTCGGTTAGCGTACCGAGCTACTTATCAACGGATGTGCGCCAAGCATCACACCATGTCTCATGACTTCAGCCTCGCACTCAGCCTTACGACTCTAGACGTTCAGTCGCCGACACGGATCTAGATCTACACCCGCTCGGGCCGCGCGTACTTGGTGGTCGACCCACGGTTCTTACACTTGGTATTTATTGTATCCAGACGATACACAAGGTCTTCTATGACTATCTGTGCAGGTGTACAGAACGGTGAATACCTTCAAGGCAGGGATGAGCTTTGATTCCGAGTGTTAAGACTTTGTTAGTATGCTGCAAGGCGTTTACCGCTCGTTCTCCTGGTTCTTGCTGCATAACCGGGGCTGATCTCGCGATAGCATGGCGGCTCTGTGTGCCTCGCCGGGGCACGAGACGCTGTGGAGCTCGTTCGCCGACTTCCCTTTGTCTACAAACCACTTGATGCACAGTCAGCCTACGTCGACGCGCATGCACGAACGTTACAACGCCAATATCGGAGGCCAGTGCTCATCTCAACAGATTTACCGACCCATGGACTGTCCCACATGTAGTAGTTTCGAAGGACATTTAACGTAGTTCGTGGAGTCAGATGCGACTATGCGACGTTATTGGCTGCATTCGCCGAAATTACGGTGAGATCGCATCCCTGCGGGAGTGCAGCACTCTCGCAGCATCGCTCATAGGGCTTGGCTACTAAGGCTTACATGCAGTCCTAACCACGGTTGGCGATGCTCATTCGTAAGTTGACGACATTTACCCTCTTACCATATTGAGACATCGGCCAGACGGAGGTATAGCCGTTCTGCTGTCCATCGTACCATGTGTGCTGCTGAAGGGTACAGAATTTCAGCGCGTCCGCACTTATGCAGGCACAGCACGAGATTGCAGCGACGTTGTTTCCAGCGCCATGGACGCAATGAGACATGCCCAGTGACTCGGAACCGAGATGCTTAGTGAGCGTGCCCACGCTTGCGGAAGGCAAGCTGCCGCTGAAGCCTATCTATGGAAGTTCGGCACACATCTGGCACGTGAAGAAACACAACATCCCGCTCAGATGTATCTGCTTCGGGTTTGTGCTCATGTTGGCCCTGACACCGCGTCGAAGACTCTCTAAACGATTATGACGCCGGCGCTGTGCTCGTCGTTCCTGTCCGTAGTATGGAAGCGGAGCCACTGATGTAAATAGCTCGAGATGCCTAATACATGGTGCAGCTGGACTGCGAAAAAGATGTTTCAAGCAGATTTAGATTAACCTTGCTCTGCTTGTACAGGACGCGCAACATGACACCATCGCAACTGCCGTGCGGTGAAGATGAGCCAACGGGTTGGAAAGCGTCATAGTATCACTATTACATGCACTCGAAGACGGTCGAGTATAGTCGCTCACCTCCAAACTACAATCAGATGACGAATTTTGAGTGATGTGACGAGACAAGAAGTCGGTCAGGCTTCCAGCCGTAGTCGACCAGAAACGGCTAGCTGGCCGCCCCCAAGGCCAATCTAGCTGCACGTATTAGCCTTTTGGCGCGATTTCCACAGAACGTCAACCTCCCTGCTGCATCGCGTTCCAACACAGCACTCTTACTCGTCAACTGGCCGTGGGTGCAGCTGAAGATGCAGGTCAATGCAGCTGCGTCCGATGGCCGTTATTCTGCCTCTCCGCTTTTTGGTGTCGCCGAACGCTTGAGATGGATACATGGGTTCGGGAGCTCCGCGAGCAGCTGATTCGCAACAGCATGGCGAGCGGGGGTCCAGCGGCTGCGCCGAGCAGTGCCCTTGTGTCTGACCGCCCCACTTCTTTTCTTACAGGCTCTCGAAATACCACACCATACATGGCACTTCTGTGCAGCTTCGTTGGGGGCTGAGAAGTACATCGTCATTGCTAAACATTTATTAACCACAGAGCCCCCAATGGATGTCATACGCCCCAAGGAAGATCGCCAGCCCCTGAGCATTGGGGATTTGGCACTAAATTGATCATGGCATCGAATGGTACGCACAACGACTTCATCAACATCACCACGCCACACTCGCGCGCGCCCAGCATGGTTCAGGAAACGCCAGCCTCCGCGCCGCGGCCGCGCTTGCCAGTCAGGAAACAAGCGCCCCAGAGGAACATTGACGAGTTCTGGAACAAGTTTACGACCAAACACCCTGGCAAGATCTTTACGATCTTACCCGACAACCTGTACGCGAAACGCGCCGCCGCACATGCGCCGAAAGGATCCATACCCGGCGTCAATGCGCTTGCGTCATACGAGGAAGCCAAAGAAGCCTGCACCAGAAAGGTCGCAAAGATCGTTAAGGAATGCCGACGATTGAATCAAAAGTACAGAGATCCACATTTCGACATCGAAGCAGACTTCAAACGATCGCAAGCCTTTCCGGATACACCAGCAGACTGTCTGACTGGGCTGAATGAAGAAAAGACCGATTTCCATCCTCTATCGGTCAAGAGAGTTGAGGTACGTATGTTACAGACTTTAACAAAACCTGGCTCATTCGTCGCAGGACATCTTCGACGACCCACGATTCTACATTGGCGGCGCTACAGCGAACGATGTACGACAGGGAAACGACGGCGACTGCTGGTTTATGTCAGCACTAGCGACGATCTCGAATAAGGAAGAGTTAATACAACGGGTGTGCGTTGCCCGTGACGAGAAGGTTGGCGTTTACGGCTTCGTCTTCCACAGAGGTAAGGACACAGCTACAAATCCGGATAGGTTCCAAACTAACGTGTCTCAGATGGCGAATGGATTTCAGAGGTTATCGACGACAAGCTTTACCTCATCAAAGAAGATTTCGACGAAGCCAAGCTCGAGCGCTATCACTGGCTGGAGCTTCAGAACCGCAAGAGTCCAGAAGACGAATACCGCACTGTGATGCAAACTGGCTCGCGAGCGCTGTACTTTGCACAATGTAGTGACCCCAACGAGACGTGGCTACCATTGCTCGAAAAGGCCTTTGCCAAAGCACATGGCGATTACAGTGCCATCGACGGAGGCTTTGTTGGGGAGGGTATCGAGGACCTCACCGGAGGTGTCACGTCAGAGGTCTTTGCGACCGATATCCTGGACAAGGACAAGTTCTGGCGTGAAGAGCTTATGAACGTCAACAAAACGTTCCTCTTCGGATGTGGCCAGATGGGTGGTATCTACGGTGCGCGCAAGGGCATTCAGGAGAAGCACGCATACTCTGTCATGGAGGCACGCGAGATCGATGGGCAGCGACTACTGAAGCTTCGAAACCCCTGGGGCCGAACCGAGTGGACTGGTCGCTGGAGCGATGGTTCAGAAGAATGGACTCCGGAATGGATGAAGAAGCTTGATCATAAGTTCGGTGACGATGGTGTCTTCTGGATCTCCTACAAAGACCTGTTGCGCACATATCAACACTTTGATCGCACTAGGCTCTTTGGCCCGGAATGGACGGTGTCTCAACAATGGACCAGTGTCAACGTTCCTTGGAGCGTCGATTACCTTGACACCAAGTTCAGGATACACCTCGCTAAAGGTGGCCCCGTCGTCATTGTCCTCAGTCAGCTTGATGATCGCTACTACCAAGGCCTCGAAGGGCAGTATGAGTTCAACCTACAATTTCGTCTCCACAAGGATGATGAAGAAGAATACATCGTTCGCAGCAACGGTACATATTACATGAAGCGCTCTGTCTCCACAGAGCTGGACCTCGAGGCTGGCAACTACACTGTCCTGCTTAAGATCAAAGCAACCCGGATCCCAGATAACCCAACTCCGGATGAAGTCATCCGGGCCACATGCACCAAGCGGCGCGAGAAGCTCCTTGCGATCGGTCTTTCCTACGACCTTGCTCATGCCAAAGGGCAGTTCAGAGAGCAGGAAAAGGACAAGGCACAGCGTGAGAAAGAGCAAAAGGCCGAGCGGAAGAAGGCTGAGCTCAGGCTGGCACATGAACGTCGTAAGAGGCTGCGCCGAAAGGCTGAGCTGCGCGAACAGAAGAAAGCTGCCAAAGAGACGCGCAAGCTAAACCGATCCGGTGAGATGGCAGAAGTCGAGAGAAAGTTACACGACCTATCTGGTCTTGGAATCAACGTTGACGAAGACAACCGTACTTCTGGCGACGAAGAGGTCAAGCCTGTTCACCAAGCTGTTTCCAGGCATCGCCGCACATCGAGCCTTGATCCACATCGTGAACGCTCGGCAAGCCCTGGTGGCGGTTTTGGTGGTCGAGGAGGCTACAACAACAAAGGCCGAGACGGCTATAACGCATCGCTTCCCGGGACATTCCAAGGACGTGGCGGCTACAATCGTGACAGTATCGGGGCCGCAACCTCTGAGGCTACTATACTCCAAGCGCGAAGCGGCTATCATAGCTCACAAGCCTCTCCTGCTGCCCACAGCCAAGGGTTTCAAGGACGTGGTGGTTACAACCAGAACATGCCCGGTGAGTTCCAAGGACGCGGAGGCTATAATCAAAACATGCCTGGAGACTTCCAGGGCAGGGGAGGCTACAATCAGTTGCCTGGTGAATTCCAGGGCCGTGGTGGTTACAATAACGAATTGCCTGGCACCTACCAAGGCCGCGATGGGTATAACGAAGGCCAGGTGACAGATTCACCAATACCTACGCCGTTACCGACACCACTTGCGACTCCGATGACCGACGAGTTCCGTCCCGGCACCCCCGGCCAGAGGACATTCAGCCCTCGTCCCGAGCGTCGATCACCAGCTGCCTCGCGCCGGGCTACGCTTACTCCCATCCCTGGTGTCCGACCTGGTATTCAGGTAACTCGTGGGCGAAGTGCTAGTGATTACTCGCACCGTGCTCAAAACGGAATGCACTCACCTGAGGACATGTCAGACTCCTCCTGGGATTCTGAAATTGATGGCCCTTGTTCTCTCGATTCTGATCTTTCTGATGACGAAGACAACATCCCCCGCATATTCTCAGAACGCCAACCTCGCTACGTATGGTACAATGGCGCACGCTACCCATACATCGAGGACGAAGATGAATTCGAGCGCGATCCTTGGAACGCCGTGTGTGTCGTGGGGCTTCGTGTCTTCAGCAAGGACAATACAGATGTCACGATCGAGGTGCACAACGGCGAGGGAGAGTCTAGAAAGAAATCTGATGGAGACGATGCAAGTGTGACGACCATGGGCACGGTCAGACGTAAAGAAAAGGAGCTTGATGTTGACGACAGTGCCGCAGATGCCACTAGTCCGATGCGGAAAAGGAATACTGGCCTTGAAGATGAGCTCAGTGCACGATTGAATCGGGACGAGGAGGCTGAGCTTGTGAGCCATGTTGGCACTGCGCCAGCGGGCATGGAGAGGAGTCGTCAAGGGACGCTGAGTTGAGGAAGGTGTAAATCCCACTCTGCAACCTAGGTGCAACGTATTTGGGTAATGTTTTGGCTGGTATTTTGCTTCATGTACTTTCAGCGAGCTTGATGTTTGGAAGGGTTTGCATATTAAGGATAGTACGTGGAATCTTAGCTTTGATTCGCCTGAAGAGATCTTCCTTCGTACTTGTAGCTTAACCGTCATATGGCTGTCGATTACACATGTCTCACGTCGCTCGCAGCTATGCTCCAGTGAAGGTCGCTGGACCTGTGAAGTGGGACTCCACTGCGGACGAAACTTGGTTGAATGACACCGAATGCTGAAAGCGAAACACAGCGCTACACAAGGACTTAAAAGAAGTAGGAAAGTCTGGTAAAGTATGATGGTTGCGTTGCTGATAGATGTTATGTTAGTATTGTGTTCTTTGTGTCCCGGCGTCTGCTGGTCCGTTTTCGGCCCGTGGCGATGCTAGCAGTAGTTCATTGCTATAGCGCCATATGGATCCATCTTACCCAGTGTTCCCCATCCACTGTGATGTGCCACTCGAAGCGCTAGTCTCCGAAAACCATATCTTGGGGATTCCGGGGTTGGCACACCGTTTCTGGATCGTTGCCGGCATTGCTATCGCGCCCATCGGTCCGCCCGTCTTACTACTAGCAGAACCTCGACTCCGGATGTTACGGTTCCAGAGCAGTGCTGTGAGGCCTCTAAACGACCTCTTCATTGGATACTGTACGTACCAAGCCCACGTGTTAACGGCAACCCTCATCGACTCCATGCATGGAGCGACACCGACATCCAGGTTCAAATGCGACGGACCTGCATCTTGTATGCACTTGTCGCACGTGTGTCTCTCATAGGCGTATTGTTATCAGACACCGCAGGACGCCAAACTCTAAGAGGCAGTTGCCGAGAATGGGGCACGGCCATTGCCAAGGCCGCCAAGTCTCAGCGCCGGTGACTGCAGCGGAGACGTCCGCCTTTGTTCGCGTGGTACATATAGTGACAGGTCGCCATAATGGAAACTTACTGTCGTGCTCGCGCCTCTCACCCTCTCGTTAACAACTCCACCAGACGCAGGTGAAGATGAAGTTCGCCACTGGATCTAACGCCGGCCTTGTTGCCTTCTCGGCGCTGACGGCGATCGCTCAAGCGGAAGATTCACTATACAGCAAACGCATGGTGAAGCGAGGCATCGATGCGGATGGCAACTACAACATCTGTATGTCGGCATGTTTAATCCCAACATTGCTTCTACTCACGTGACCTAGCCTTCTTCCACATCAACGACGTGCATGCTCATCTTGACGAGTTCAGCTCTTCAGGAACTGACTGCACACGACCAGAGCGAGGTTGCTATGGTGGTTATGCGCGCGTCAAGACAGTCATCGAAGAGCAACGCCCCAACTACGAGGACAGTCTTTGGCTGAATGCTGGTGATGAGTTCCAAGGCACATTGTTCTACAGCTTCTACGGCGGCGAGAAGATTGCCGAGACGTTGAACCAGCTCGAATTCGATGCCATGACCCTGGGTAACCATGAGTTCGATGGTGGCGATGCCCAGCTAGGAGAATTCTTGGTCAATCTCACGTTTCCCATCATCAGTGCGAACGTGCATTCGCAGGATGAGAATGTCAACAAGACTGTCAAGCCTTACACCATCTTCGAAGAGCACGGCTTGGCACTCATTGGTGTCACTGCTGAAGAGACTGGCAGCCTGAGTAACGCCGATGTTACTACGGTCTTCTCCAACACCGTTGAGGCCGTTCAGGGCGCGATTGATGAGATCAAGGCTACCACCAACATTACCAGGATTGCTGCTCTTACTCATATTGGTTACGATAAAGACCAGGAACTTGCCAAAGCTACCACTGGTCTTCAACTCATCATCGGTGGCCACAGCCACACACTTCTTGGCGACATGGAAGACGCTGAGGGCAAGTACCCGACCATCGTTGAAAACCAGGACGGCGACGAAGTCTTCATCGTTACTGCCTACCGTTGGGGTGAATACGTCGGCTACATTGATGTTACATACGACCCTCAGGGCAAGATCCTCGCTTACAACGGCGCCCCAATTCATCTTACCAACGCTACCGAACAGGACGAGGACCTTCAAGAGCAGGTCGAGGAGTGGCGCATTCCTTTTGAGGAGTTCGCTGCTGAAGTTCTCGGTACCAGTGAGGTTGAGCTTGACCAGACAACCTGCCAAGAGCAAGAGTGCTTGCTCGGTGACTTCATGGCCGATGCTATGCTCGCCTACCGCAAGAACAACACCGACGACGTTGACTTTGCTCTGATCAATGCCGGTGGCATTCGCGCTACTATCGATCAGGGTGACATTACCCGCGGCGAAGTCTTGACTTCTTTCCCCTTCGGTAACGCCATCGTTCAGGTTGCTATCGATGGAAAGACTCTTTGGGAGTCTCTCGAGGGTATTGTAACTGGTGTCAATGTAGGCAATGGAAGGGAAGTCACTTCATTCTTCCAGATTAGCACTGGCATCAAGGTGGAATACAACCCTGAGAACGACAACAATACCAAGCTCATTTCCGTCACCATCGGCGACGAGCCTCTGAACAACGACACCACCTACCAAATGGTCACTCTCGATTTCATCGCCGGTGGAGGTGACAACTTTTTCGAGCCATCGACCGATTTCGTCACCTTGGATACTCAAGATGAAGTTCTTACTTCGTACATCTTGAGCCAGACCCCAGTCAACATTGAGCTCGATGGACGTATTGAAGAGGTCGATGGCCAGAGGGAGGACATCCCTGGTGCTGGCAACGGCACTAGCAACGGTACCTCACCCACAACTGGTGCACCACCTCAACAGACCACCAACGCAGCTGCCCGTCTCGGCCAAGGCGCCGTCGGCGCCAGCATCTTCGGTGTTCTCGCCAGTCTGTTCATGCTCTAAGCATAGACTGATATGAAGGAATGATATGCGTGATGGCTACATACGATAAGACAACAAACCCATTCAATTAAACATGTACATACTTGCTAGACGCGTCATTTGGTCTGATACTGTTGATGTGATCACTTGGGAAAATATAATGAGACAATACGCAACCAGAATATCATGTTGACCATCCAGCTGTGGTCATCTCGTCTGATCTCTGATAATGAAAGCAAACTAAGATTGCGCTTCAGCGCACCTTATTGCTTATCAAAATCTGGAATCCGCGCAGCTCAGGTGCATTCTATGGTGTACTCTGTCAGGCCTACTCAATCTTCTCGTTACATGTCGGCGATCAATTTCTTAGCTCCGTAAATAGGTACCAAACTCGGACCCAAAGTGCGATCGCAAAAGCCGAATGTAGTCCACCTATATATTCTGCATGCATCTATAAAATGTTATACTGTCTTGTTTACAATATCTATTTGTTCAGCTCATCTCATTACGTCTAGGTTGCAACGTATGGTCCAACGCTTTCAACTCTGTCTTTTGCAACGATACTGAAGCATGACTTCGACGCCGAACCACATTGATTCCATCGTGCTTTGCAACGATTCTTGCGACAACAGTACAACTCCAGATCCGTTCATGATCCTGTACATTCCAGAAAACGAAGAAGTAGGCGGACATGGAGATGGAAGTGAAAGCAGAAGCCAATGCGTTATACGCAAAGCACCATTTGCCTATAAAACTCCTCGGCTACCTAGATCCTCCACAACCGGCCATTTCAATATTTCGACCAACAGCGCACCATCTCAATATGCTCAACCGTCAGATTAGCAGGGACAAAAGAGGGAAGATTGTAGTGCGCCTAGGCGGCCTAAATGACATCAGGCTCGGCACCCCTGCATATCCACCTACCTTTACGCCACCTGTTGTCACCCCTTCTGAAAAGCTCGAACCGAGTGTTATGGACTACACATTCGAACAGTACAAAGCCGCCAACCTCAACATCGACCAGCAACACGATATCATCGGCAAGCTCCGCAATGAGCTTCCTATCATCGACCGCGACGAAGTCGACGATACACTCCTGCGTTCGATGGCACAGCAGTTCGAGCTCGCAATTTTCCCAACATGCAAGATGATGCATGTCGACCCCCTAGCCGTGAAGCGCATGTTCGACAACCAGTTCCGCATGGCGTATGGACCAGAGGTAGAGGCGGAGGTGTTAGCAAAGCTAGGCTTGTGTCGCTTAGAAGACATCGAGAAAGCTGTTACTGCAGTGAAAACAGGCATGGTTACCAAAGAAGACATCGAGCACAGTGCGACCAACGTGGAAAAAAGCTCAATAAGACAGGAGAGAGACATGGTTGCCCCTCCTCCACCGAAGAAGAAAGCAAGGATGACACCGCCCAACAACACACAGAAGGATCTCAAGGCTCACGTTGCAAGGAGAAGGCGTGCGAATCGTGGGTGCAAGATCTTGACGCTGCGCTCGGTAGTTGTGTCGCAGAAGTGGGAGGTCTTGAGTAGTGGCTCGTAGCTGGCCCACACGGGCAGTAGTGGAGGTAGTGACACCTTGACCAAAGGCTGGGTACTGGAATGATGATTTGTTTTTGAGCTGGCGCGCGTCGTGGACGGACTGGACAAGGGGTGATACGCAAATGCTGCACATAGAGTAATACTACGAGCAAGTATTGCATCATCACAAGCACTCTTAAAATCCGGTGGGACACTTTTATGCAGTGAAATGTCCGAACGATGGTTGCGAAGCTCGTGAAGCTAGCTGGAGACATCAGAATTTCGACGCGTGACGTCACGCGGTTACCGATCCAGGTAGCACGAACCTACGACGACACGCTTTTCGCGCAGATCTACAATAAACTTCTTCTAACGGACAATCTGATTTACAAGGTTGTCAGCCATCATTGAACTTCTAGAGTCTGAGATCATGGTTCCCGTTGCTTTATGCCGGCACTTCAGTCGCGCCATTCAGACACGTCGAAAAGTATCTCAGTGGTACAAGGCGAAAGTCAATGGAGATACGAAAAGTGATCTGCGGCACAAATACTTTATCAAGGTCCTTGAGGACACCTTCGCATCTCTCAACCCGTTTCTCGGAACTGGCGGACCAGAACCTGCACGAAATAATGCTTCTGCTACTACCACGTCGGGTTTATCGTCTCGCAATCGCTTTACAGGATTGACCGTTGGCGAGCTTGCAGCAGTAGCCGACGAGGAAGACATAAATGAAGACACACTTTCCGAGTTCTCCGGCGTCATGTTGGAGGAAGTCGAGGAGGACAAAGAAGACGACTTCTGGGTTGCTATTGCGCTCATGCTACAGGAGCAACAGGACATGAAAGAGGTGGTACGTGAGAACTGGCAAAAATACAAGAGCGGTAAAGTCGACTTGGTTGTGGCGGCAATGACCACGGATACTGCTACCAAGCTTGCTCAGGGTACGGAAGCGAAGTTTGACCTGCTAGTAACGCGGCCAAAGAAATACTCGCAGACCAAATATCCGGTTTGGACTCTCCCCGCTGTTCTCTTCTACAACAACCACGAAGATATGCACCGATGGCCCCTCAAGGAGATTGCGAAGCCTTCCGCCAAGCTTGGAATTACAGCTGATGCCCAGAGTGAAGCGCACTTTGACTTCTGGCCAGTTTTCGCTCGCTTGAAATTTTATCTCCACAAGCACATTACTAAGGCGAACTTGATTCCGCAAGTCGTTCCGAAGGACTTCGGTGATGCCAACATTCACAGTCGAACATTGAGAGCAATCGAACTCGCGTAAGTCATGCGGATCATTGCAGAGGCAGTTAAACGCCCACCACTCCTGGACATGGTCTCTAGAGGTCTTTTGGGTATGTTTAGCGAACACACAATCCCAATGTGGCTCACATATGGCGCCCAGCTCCATTTTGATTCGCTAGACATCTTGGGTGAAGAAAGTGCTATTTTCCGTCCACGTATGGAATCTCAGTACTGCCTGACCCACTTGGTCATATCGCAGGAGGCAATTGAAAAGGACTGGGAAGATCCAATGATGCCAAAAACACCCCAGTATGTATTATACAATTCTTTCAAAGACGTATTCAATGATACGGTAAGTTGTGCCTGTACGAAACCTATCAAGAATGTACACTAACTTTGTATCTCCACCTCTGCAGAGTCCATGGGTGTTCCATGACGGATTTAGTAACAATGGGAAAGGCTCAAGAGAGATCCAAAAGTCGGTGGACATCCAATCTCCAGGATGTTGAAGAGCAAGCCTCACTACCTGTATGAACACAATACTTTGCTTTGTGGCATGATGAAGTACCATACTCTCGTCCACTGGCACGCGGCTGGCATACCACATGAAGCAACCTCATGTTCTCTCCTTTTCATGGCCCATGTCTACATGGGCACCCAGCTGAGAAGCCCTTCTGACCCCGTGTGGCCCGACATGGAGTTCATGCTCTTCAGCCAAGATCCCTGATACTTGTTACTCAAAAGGCCGCCCGAGTCGCCTGAGGAAGCACGGACACTCTTCGATATAGCTACTGGCCAGCCCACTCTCAAGCAAGTGGGGTCATATGCTCTCGATCGTTTGAACTTCAGCGATGAGTTTCTAGGCAAGCCTAGATATGATCCGAATAACAAGGCACGGTTTTCCGGAGATGCAAGCGTGTTTGGAGAGTCTGTCTACTTGCCACGCGGTGCAGGTGCCTTCTGGATCAGTAAATTACCTGGCGGAGCTTTCAACGGTCGAATCGACACCATTACCAAGGCACTTCTTGAAGCATCATCTCCTGACACAACTCGTGGCCGTCACGCTCGCGCAATGCAAGCTTCCCAGGAAAGGCAGGGACCGAAACTAGAATCCTTGAACGGAAAAGAAGGGCTAACTCCCGTTGCCATTTTGCAACATTTTGCTTTCTGGCTGCAGGCTGACATGCCAGAACTTTGTTTCGACGGAGTGTTGATGCAGCGGCAATGCTCGGATACATGGAAGGCCATCTACGAAGCGCTCGAGCGTGACCCAGCTTGTGACAGCTCCTTCTCACAATTCGAACAATCAGCGCAACATGCAGCAAATGCCATCATCACCACGTCCGTGATCGAAGGCAAGTACCCTCACTTCATGGACATAGCGCGCAATGCAATGCTTGACGATCTACAGCAGCAAGACAGCGAGCTGGGGTGCCCGCGAAGCGAGGTATGCCTGATGGACATGGTGAAGCACCACAAGAGAGTCGCAATAATGCTTACGGATGATGGACCCTTAAGTATCGACAAGTTGTATAAAGGCTGGACGGCGGCACAGAAACAACAGAAGAAAGATGGACTCGCGGCCGCTGTCGCACAGGCTGAGGATGGGCTTAGACATTTAGAGACGATGATGTACGCTCAGCTACTCGAAACCACAAGAGAAGAAGGTCGCAAGATGCGGAGACGTGGTTATTCCGGTGATCCTGAATCGGAGCTCCTGAGAGACGACCTATATTTAAAACTTCGCTCACTTGAAGCCAGGGTAAACGAGGATTGCATGGTGATGTAGTGGGTGTTGGTAGACATTGTCGAATTATCAGCGCAATCAAGTGTCGCGTCGATTGGTGGAGCGCCTGAAATATCTCACGTTCTCTAGCATCCGAGCAGTCTAGATTGTGACGCTAATTTGGGGATGTTGTCAAGCGTCATTGGTGAGGCAGCACCCTGAGACTAGCCGGTTCGGGACGGCTGCCTGAACGCTAATATATACTAGGGAGTACTGACCATCGCCTACGGTTTATTCGAGATGGCATATAAGACTCACAGAAAGACGACAACTTACACACATCACCAACTCTTTCTACATAGTTTTACATTGTTTTCCCATCGCTCACACAATATCATCGAAACGCGTTACCAGCAATACATTATTACGATTTCAACAAGATGGCGCCAATTGCAAGCCCTCTACACATCACCAATCTGACGGACGGGGAAACAATTCATCAGGTACATTACATTTTCTGGGTCGACAGAGTATAATTAACACATAGCATAGCGCTGCCTCTTGGTCACAGGTACCTTTACGCTTCCCGTCGCTGAAGGCAGTTACATCCATGTCGCTACTAAAGGTGCCAACAACGCCCAATCGTTTCCCGAGCAGACGTGGCCGATAGCAGGTGGTAACTTCAAGGCTCTTGTTATGCTCTCGCCAGGGCAGAATATCCTCGAATTTGCATACGTCTGCAATGACTGCCTCGAACACACCATCGAGATGAATGTCAACTATATTCCGCTCTTGCAATGTCCACCTCTTCATCTCGCCATAATGGTTGCCGCAGATTCTCCATGCATCATCGACTGCCCACCTTCAAAGGCCGCTGGGATTTCTTCGGCGCACTCAGACCTCGACGCAGCAATCGCCAAGGTCCGCATGGCGGCTTATATGTGGCAAGCTATGACTGCGGAAGACCTGAGGCTGCAAGGAGCTGGACGCCGATCGTTCAGGCTGGATGAGGAATGGACAGCTGACACGATCAGTCGTGACTTTCTCAATGCGCAAGTTGACGGGGCTCTCGATGGCGAAGGTGCCATGCGATCGACCGCCAAAGTCAACATCATTCGCTCTTCTAGAACCGTCAAAGAAATCCGTGATAAGGAAGTTGCACAACAGAATCCTTCCGCCCGTCGCAGCAATGGCTTGTTCGACTACTTTCTGGAAGCGCTCAAGGAAAGGGGAGGACCGTTTGCTTCTGAGGCCCATCCCATCGTTGCTGGATTGATTCTCGACTCACACTACAATGTCTCGCAGAAGCTGATCCTTGGACACGCAGCTTTGGGTTGCCATAACCCCGACGGAATCTCGCTGGGCATGTTCGGTAGCCATCTGGCCTACTCCTGGCCGCGCTTCCTAGAAGAAGTCACAGGCTGTCTTACAGATATCCGCAAACCTGGAGACAAGGTAGGTGATGACAATGGAGAGTGCAACACCATGTGGGAAGCGTGCGCCATTGGTCAAGGCGCTTTTCTCCATGAAGTCGGCCATGCACTTGGATCGCCTCATCGTTCAGGCATCATGGAGCGCGGATATGCGCAAGACTGGCCCAAGAACTTTCTCCCCAAGACCGCGTACTCTGGTCGCCTCAAAGCAGAAGGCGTACTTGTCGATCCTCATAGTACATCTAACAAAGCTCGTTGGAATCTAGCCGATGCGCTCTCCTTCCGCATGCTGCCTCATTTCCGCCTTCCCATTGATCCCGTAATCAGCGACGAAGAACGCCATGCATCCCCCGAGGCCTACGCTGAGCAAATCGATGATGAAGGTCCATCAAAACTCGTCATCGGCTCAAGCAGCGGTATCGTACGCATCACCTTCAACCACACAGAGACAACCCAACCCCTTGGCTGGATTCACAGCGCACCGAAGCGCATGGAGTACATGGAATCCGCTCTTGAAGAGCGCTTTGACCGATCTAAACCCCTACAACTCAACATCCTCGCCTACAACGGCAAGGAAACCAGCATCGGCAACGTATGGAAGGTTCTCGCCAGCAAAACGTTCATCCGCATCCCAGGCTCCAATATTCGACTCGTAAAGCGCCTAGCCTTCCCTGATGGGTCTAACAACGCTCGTCGATATGAATGGACACAGCTCCTTCACGAGAAGGGCAAGGACGGGAAAGTGCACCGCGCCGTGTCCATCGATCTGAGAGTAGGATGTCTATGGGATGGAGGTGTGGTGAAGTATGCAGATGGCCACACAAGCCATTGGGGACCTATGCGTACATATGGCAGCAAACACCATTTCGGTGGTCACGCTTCCGAGAAGCTGCGCCTCCCCGAAGGAGTGGAGATTACTTCTATCGAAGTCAACCCTAGGGATGGTGTAAGGATGCATCTCAGCAACGGCACAAGCGCAGGCGAGCTCAACATGAGGCATCACTCGGAGATTGTGAAGTTGACGCCCAGCCCTAATGAGGTTATTGTGGGATTCTTCGGCAAGAGTGAGAGGGGTGGAGGCTTTTGTGGCGTTGAGGAGTTTGGAATTATTACTGTGCAGAGAGATGTGGGGATTGCTGGACTGCCAGAAACTGTGTGGGATATGGATGAGTTGAAGAATACGAGTGGGATGGAAGGGGATGAGGTACGTGAGCATCACAATCTTGCTCTTCCTTCGATCGCATATAGAAGGATGCTAACATGGGATTGCAGGACGATAATCATTACGACCATAATGAAGACGACGAAGACGAAGAGATGGACTACGAAGATGACGAATAGCTTTAGTCTTGCTTCTTGGGTATTCTCTTTGGAAAGTTTCTGTATTATTGTTATAGTAGTATCCTATATCATAATGGCATATCTAGCTAGCGGTGAGCACCACTCTGCCACCTTCTAGTCCCTCGGCCTTTGCCTCAACAACAATCTCTCCACTAGCACCCGCTTCGCTCCTTACAATAGCCAACGCCATTCCGCTAAAGGCATTCCTCGTCGATTCTGGGAACGGCCTCATATCTGTTGGATCACCGTTGTCTGTAGCAACAATAACGCCCTGCCCAGACGTGACCTCGAAATTAATCTCGTCGGCCGCATCAGGAACCACGATACCGTTCTCATCGAGCACGGAAACATTAATGAACGAGAGATCATAGCCATCACCAGCGATCGTTGTGCGGTCTGCAGTCACGTTGAGTGTCGTAGCGGAACCAGCTGTGAACTGCGATGCCCTAGCCCATTCCTCGCCGTTCTTGTATGCGACAACGCTGATATTTCCAGGGCGGTATTGTACCCCATCCCAACGGATTCTGTAATCGTACTTACCCTTGGATTGGCGGCCAGCTGAGATGCCGTTGACGAACAGCTCCGCCTCGTCACCTGATGTGTGGACATGGACGGGTGTGATCTCGCCGATACGGTCTTCAGAAAATGTCCAATGTGGAAGGATGTGTGCCATCGGGAAGTCTGGTCTCCAGCGGGCTTGGTAGAGGAAGAAGCGGTCCTTCTTGAAACCAGCGAGATCGATGATGCCGAAGTAGGAGCTACGACTTTCGTTGGCATAAGGTGTAGGCTCACCGATGTAATCGAAGCCAGTCCAGACGAATTCGCCAGCAACGTAGGGGTGCCTATCTTGCTGCTCAAAGACCTTGTCGGGTGATGCGGCCCACTCTGGTGCATAAAGATCATAAGAGCTTACGATGTTAGTCTCTGGATCTCCGCCTTCCAGTGGCCCGCCACCGACGATGGCACTCTTGTTCGCAGTAACGGGGAAGAGATATTTGCCGCGGGTGCTGAGGGTGGATGCTGACTCAGTACTCCAGATCATCTTCTCTGGGAAGGCTTCTTTGAAACCGGGGAAACTTGCTACCCAGGAGTCTCCTTTGCCCTCACCCTGATAGTTGAGGCCAACGATATCGATGACGGCAGCAATCTCCGTGTCAGCATCAGCCTCATTCATGCCAATGGTTACTTGGCGCGTTGAGTCTTCTTCACGGACGATATTCTGGAGTGTCCTTCCGGTCTCGGTACCGGTCGAGTTGGACTGTTCGGGAAGCTCGTTACCCACACTCCATGAGATGATGGAGGGATGATTACGATCACGACGAATGAACGAGCGAGTATCTGGCTCATGCCACTCTTGGAAAATGCGATGGAAGTCATTCTCGGTCTTGGGGAAGTTCCAAGTATCGAAGATCTCATCCATAACTAGAAGGCCATACTGGTCGGCAAGGTCGAGAAACTCAGGTGCGGGTGGGTTATGCGACGTTCGAAGTGCGTTGTTGCCCATCTCTTGTAGAATCTGGATCTGACGCTCTGCAGCTCTGGTGTTGAAGGCTGCTCCAAGAGCGCCCAAGTCGTGATGGTTGCAAGACCCTTGAATGTAGATACGCTCACCGTTGATGAGAACACCTTGGTTCGGGTCGTATGCGACGGAGCGGATGCCAAAAACGGTCTCATAGCTGTCCACCACCTGACCCCCGACTGAGACGGTAGAGATAGCGACGTACTCATTCGGTGTCTGGCTGGGTGGTGGTCCCCAAAGCTTGGGATTCGCAACAGTGACTGATCCTTGTACCGATTGCTTTGTGTGGCCTGCTACATCTGCGTTCGCTGATGGAAATGTTGCGACAGCATCGCCTGTTGCTTGCTTGGAAGCTACATCACGCTCAAAGACTTCTGTAACTACCTCAACGTGCTGGCTGCTGTTACCCTTATTTTCGACCTCAATCGTTATCTCAACAGTGGCTTCTGCTTCTGAGATGCTTGGGGTAGTGACGTAGGTTCCCCACTGTCCGACGTGAACTGGGTTGACAGTGACGAGCCAAACGTTGCGATAGATTCCAGCGCCTGGGTACCAACGCGACGAGTCTAGCTTGTTGTCCAGACGGATAGCTAGAATGTTGTCTCCAGCCTTGGCATATGGAGTGAGGTCAAGGCGGAAAGAGTTGTAACCGTAAGGCCATCCACCAACGAGCTGACCGTTCAACCATACCGCAGCATACGACATGGCGCCATCAACATCGAGAAAGACAGATTTGCCAGACTGGAGGGTCTCGGCATCCATGGAGAGCGTACGTCGGTACCATCCGATACCATTGATTGGCAGTTTACCAAGACCTCCATCAACTCCAGGGGCATCAAAGGTGCCTGAAATGGCCCAGTCGTGGGGAAGGGCGACAGCCTCCCACTCTGCGTCATCGAAACTGGAAGAGACATAGCTGATATTGGCGCCTGGGGCAGGAGCAGATGGCCGCTCGTACTTTTGTCCGGTGATGAAGTCGTTTGCACAAGGCAAGATCCACGGCCTCAGACCCTCGTAGCTCAGGCCATCTGGATCCGAGGTGAAGCGCTCAAAACGCCAGTCAGCATTGAGTGACGTGCGTTGGCGACCAGATGTTTGAGATTGTCTTTTTGCGGCCACATGAGACGCTGCGACATCGACGTAGTTTGATAATATAACGCCCACGAGCAACAAACTGTACGAGTTGTACAGTGTCCGAAGGAAGCCCGTCATCACGACGAACAATAACAGGCTGAAATAAAAGTCAGTTTCAGACAAGGTTCATCTGATAAGCAGACGGAACGATGAGCTCACTGAGAGTCAATGGCAAGCGTGAAACTTGGAGTCGCTCGTTACACAGCTGATTTGTATACGAATAGAAATATGTGATGTGATAGAGCAGCACCACGGGTCATCTCCCTCCGTATCGTGCGCATGTCTCGTCATGGTCGGAAAAATGAACCTATGTTACCGTCTGGGCAGTACATAAACCGCTGCCCGTGGAATGTTTCTTGCAGTTTATTAGCCTGCAAAGGTACTTCCCCGCCATGCAAAGTGCGGGGTGGCTGTCTTGGCTATACTTGGCTACTGGCTTGAACGATGTTGCACCGGATGATGTATCCACTTTTCATGGGGAAGCTTTCACGTTGAGCGCGGAATGACGATCCTGGAGGCTGGGAGATGAGCTTCGAATGTAATGACGTCGTTGGCTAGGCCGGATGGGGTTGTCGTTCCGCTTGCTGTCTCCTCATCGTTCCGCATGTGGGGTCCGCCAGTCCAGCGAGCACCCCAATACTACCAGATGTTTAGAAAAACATAATTGTATAGAGTCTAAGGTATACAGCAACCGTTTCCGAGCTGGCAACACCAGTGATAAGGATACAGATGGAAAAGGCACGCAAACTACCCGAAACATGACGTAATGAAAAGGGATTCCCAGCATTGCTGCGATACAACCTTTCAGAATTTACAAAATCAGTAGTAAGGGAAAACATCAACGTTGAATCTCAGCAACATTCCCATTGGGTGACTTCGTATCGTGAATCTGGTCAGTATAGTCATTATGGCCCATGTACGGCTCGGCGAGCATGGGTGCTGCAGGTCCTCCTATTGCACCATACCTCTTGCGCCTACGGAAGAAGCTGTAACATGACGAGTCAGTACTTGAATTGGTATCGTGGCACTCGTAGAATGTCAAACTTACATGATAGCCCCAATGATGGCTGCCAGGAGGGGCAGAACCAGGCCGACGCAGATACCGATAATGACCTTGTTGCTGACACCTCGAGTAGTTCCATCAAGACCGTGATTCTCTTCACCGGGTGGCGCAACGTACGGTACTGGGCTACCAGTAATGGTCTTCATTGATCTGGCCTGGGGTCCAAATTCTTTGGTAGCCTTGACTTTTTCGAGCATAGTTTCCGGCCAGACAGCACTCTCGCCAGAAGGAACCACGAGAGTTCTTGTAATTGTTGCTCTTGTGGAGATTTGCTCGGAATTAGGACACATAGCAGTCGCCGTGTTCTTACAACCTACACCTGTAGTAATGGTCGAAGTAGTGTGAGTTACAAGATCCTGTCGTTTCTCAGCACCGGTGGCAGTAACTTGCGGCGGCTTGCTAGTAGCTTCGATAGCGCATGCCTCAGCGAGTGTTGTAGTGAAGATTGCTGTGGTCTTGCTTGCAACTGGACCATAGGTCATATTATGGCTTAGGGCCGGTAGATGTACCTCGATAGATGCGCCGGCTAAAGCACCTAGTGCAAAGTTGTATTCCTGAACGACCTTGAGCTTGCATTCGTCATCATCAGGTACGTAGGTGATGTTGGTCACAAATTCTGCAACGTTGGCGAAAAGAGCGAGTTCTACTCCCGCGTTGACCTCGACGTTTAAAGAGTCAGCGACTTCGCCAGCGATTCCAGTTATTTTCGGCCGGCCAACTTCGACACCGCAGTGCACGCCAACTCGAAGAACAGCTGCGATAGAAACGCTTGCGCTGACAAGCGTAACAGGTAGAAACTCAAATTGACCCCCGTTGCTGTGAGTATTGTCAGCAGAGAGTTACGACGGTTGAAAGCAATGTGAAGATCGATGCAAAGATATAGATACTAGGGATTACTCACAAGATCATGTTTGAGACAGTGTCGCCAAACATGGTAATGTCCATTGCAACACCATCATCGAGTCTAACGTGGAATCCACTGCTTACATCGATCTGCCCATCAACCTCCAGGATAAGATCGACTTGGAGTGTCACACCGAGCGTCAATGATGGGCCGACGAAGATCCCTATCGGGCTGTTGGAAGTGTACAGGTTGATTTCGTAAGCAGCTCCACCAGTAAGAACAGTGTCCATCTCTAAGTAGAGCTCCATGCCGTCGAACTGGAAGCGTAAGTTTGCTTCCTCGATCTCAGGGACATTGATATCGAATGCGAGTGGAAAGGTTGGAAAAGTGAAGTCTTCCGCATCGAAAACGTCTTTCACTTTTTCAAACACAGTGTCGGTGTAGTTGTGGGTGGAGTTGAATAGGAAGTCTACGAATGTGTTGGCAAACTCGATGGTTTCGTTCTTAGCATTGTTCACGACGCCACCGATGAGTTCGCTGGCGTCTAAGTTGTCTCCAATAGTGAGTTCGGCCTTAGCATTTCCTTTGACGTAGCACGTCTTGCATGTGACATTGATTCCAGCCTTGAGGTCCAGGTTAGTAGCTTCCACTACGCTGCACAATGAGTGTTAGCTACGATTACATTTAATAAGCTGGACTTGCAATTTTGGGATATTTACATTGATAACAGGGTGGCGCCATCCCAGCTCCTCGCCAGAGGTAGATCAGCTGTATAAGGCTCGCGTTTTTCCAGGCTGGCTACAGCCAGGCCCCGCCTTATAGCACGCCAGGTATCCTCTACAGTGTGGCCTGGAGCATTGCGGACTTGGATGGCAGAATCAAGTATTGCAGCTGCAGCACTAGCCCACAATACTGCACATGATAGGAGAAGGGTGCAAAGAACTGCCATTGAAACAAGAAGAAGAGAAGCACCAAAGGGTAAATGATCAGGCTGAGAATGACCAGGTCGGGGTAAGCAAAGCGTGAGAGTTGCTGTTGTCGATAGAGGATCAAGCCTTCTCACTTATACATTTACCTCTATCAACCTCAAAGTACCTCAAGGTGTGTACCGTTCAACAGCACGAGACTTTGCGGCGTAGCACGGACGGGGGCGGAATATGCGGGATGGAACCAAACACGCTTCAGTGCACTACTCCGCCATCAACACCATACCAGATGCGGCGATCAAGTAAGGTATAGCATCCTTCGGACTTACATCGACTAGGCTGAGGTGCTTCTGGGACGATAATCGACCCCTACCTTGTAATCCTGAGAACTTTTCGGTGATAAGACATGCTGGCCGGCATACATTCCTTGTAGCATTCGCACTCTGCTACTGGCACATACATAAGGCGGAGCATGATCTGAGCAGTGAGCAAGAGCCAAATCCGGCGGATTTAAAGCCAAGGACTTAGTACGATAAAGGCATGCAGTTTACCGTTGTGGTGAGACTGTGGATGAACTCCAGCTGCACGCTCGACCTCAGCCTTGTGGCCATAACATGCAGATACGGTCGAGCAGTGTCGATATGCGGCCATGTCTCGGCCCCTGAGAGAATACTAATCCCGCAGACAGATAAGAAAAACTGGCGCGGATAGTGTCCGTATGCTATTTATGGGAACATAACTTCTCGAGGTTGAAGCTCTCAAGCCTTCCGATGCATAGCCTGAGTGACATACCACACCTACCCCGCAGTAGATAGCTGTATGGCGTTATTGTGATGGTTGCTTTTCCCTTGCCTAGACGTGGTCCAGTTTGCGGCGCAGTAGACGCATGGTACATATTTTCAGAACACTGCAGCTCGTGAGTGACACCGTCGCGTTTCGAGTTGATGGCTTTGCAGCTTGCAGCAACTTTCTATACTTCGAATCCATGGTGTACAACAACGGACAGAAAAGGCGAGAAGCTTTGTTCTATTCACGTTCTAGATTCTGTGATCTCTAGTATGCCTTGTTGCTAAAGGCAATAGTACGCTGTTCTCCGGTAGCGATGGATAGCGCAAGAGGTAACAATCATCCTTCTAGTTGCATGCTTGATGTAGTGATTAGCGAGATAAAACTAATGCAGAGTGGATCATGCGACACCAAGAACGAAGAAGAGAGATTAGCGAAGATGATGGTAGATGAGATGTTAGGTAGAAGACCAAGTCGTGGGAGCTGCTGGCAAACGCAGCTTCCCCAGACCCATGTGAGCGCGCCCTTCCACGCTAACCTTATCAACTCAGGGTCCCTTGGCGCCCGAACGTCACCCGCTGGGTGTCGCATTGAGACAGCCACGATTCAGAAATCAGCCTTGGAGACACCTGCAGTACTCTGTCAATCCCTCGAAAAAGATCAACACGGTCTCCGACGACGCGATACCCCACTCTCAGCCACACTGCCCTCGCAACCCGAAGCAACCAAACGAAGCCGGAGGCGCATAGCGTAACCATGTCGCAAGCCTACGAGCGCGAGCAACAGAACAACTCTAGACTGGACGAGCTGGCCTCTAAAGTCTCGGCACTTCGAGGCGTCACAATAGACATCTACGACAACGCACGCGATCAACATGTCATCGACAGCACAGTACGTCCCCCTAGACCCAACGTCAAGAACATATCTACATTCCTACGAGCTTGAGCGGAACGGTCCAACTCTAACTATATTACTCCTCCATCCCTCTGCTACCCTGCTCGCTCTTTTCTAATATCACTTACTTAACGGATACATCCAAAACACTACTAACATCTCAATCACAGTCCGATACATTCTCCTCCTTCTCCACGACCCTCAAAGGTTCCGCAACACGCCTAACGCGCATGGCATCGTCGGGAAACAAAGTAGCTATCTTGAAATTATCAGGCATAATAATAGCGACTGTGGTGGTTCTATACTGGATATGGCATTTGATCTTTTAAAGTCGCAGTTTGCCTCACAATATCATCCGGCCAGGGCAGATGATGTTTCTCAGCAACGGCTCGATGTCAGGCGCAGCTACGTGAGTTGTGCAAGTCACGACGGAACAGAACTCGATGACGGGCACGGAAGATATTAGACAACTAAGCGGAGGGAACTGTGATGTCTTGGTTTATGAGTCAGGCTTCCGAACAGGGGGGAAGCGTCTTGGGTACTAGCATATGCGGCGTTTGGGAGCATTTCCACGTACAGGGCATGGGTGTTTATTGTTGTTTCAATTCAGCGGTCTATAAACATCACTATGTACACTATGTACATTACGCTTTATTCCATACTCGCTTTCGGATCATCTTCAGCAAGACGTGCATTAAAGTACATAAGACGCAACGATCGCCAAGCCAGAAGGCATCCATTATGCACAGCTCTTACTCCCAGACGTTCGAAAAGAGGTCATCGCTGCCGCCTCCAAATCCTCCTGCAGGCTTACTTTGAGTAGTCGTGGTGTGTGTAGTAGTGGTTGTCTGCGTCGTGGTAGTGGGCGCAGCACTGCTCCAGCCCCCAAAGTCATCGTCTTGTGTGACCTGTGGTGCACCCCAGCCAGGAGTGGTGGGCTGAGCATGCGATGTGGTAGTTGTTGCTGCCGGTTGGCTAGGGGCAGAAGAACCCCAGACATCATTGCTACCCCAGGCGTCCATGTTAGAAAATCCTGAGTAGTTTACAGCTGCGGGCGCAGGAGCAGCCTTGGGAGCGGGCGCCGGTGCAGGCGAAGAGAGGTTGAAGGCCGAGCTTGCGGGAGGTGATGCTAGTGGTGGGGAGGTGACCCTCGGTGCAGGGGCCGGTGCAGATGGCATGGATAGGTCAAGCAAATCGTTCATGCCGCTTGCTGCGGGGGCTGCAGGCTTAGATGGAGCGGGCGCAGAGAAAGCACTGAAATCAGACAAGCCACCTGAAGGGCTCATGGTACGACTGTGCGACTGGTTCTGCGGAGCAGGCTTGGAATCAAAAAAGTTGCCCCCACCACCGAACATGTTTGATGAAGATGTAGAGGGCGGTGACTTTGCGCTTGAAAAGCTATCGAGACCAGAGAACGGCGAGGGCTTGGGTGCCGGAGCGGCGTTGAAGGACAGGCTGCTGAATGCATCGTTCATGCCACCAAAGGCCGATTGTGATGGCGATGCCGGTCCCTGAGGAGACGCCAATCCACCGAAAGAGTCTTGACGTGCATGCTGCTGTGGTTGGGGCGGCGCTGCGGGCTTCGAGGCATATAGCGACAAAATCGACTGCTTGAGGTCCGGTCTTGATGGTGCCGCAGCAGCTGGCCCCGTGCTGGACGGACGAGAGGGTGCTGCAGACGATGATCCACCAAGAAAGTCTAATCCTAACAATGAATCCCCTGCTTTGTTCTGTTTCGGTGGTGCTGGCTCTGCCTTCGGAGGCGCTCTCGCTGCGACTGGTGGTCCGGTGCTCGGTCGCTGAGGAACAGGATCGTCGCCAAATAGGTCGATGGCTGGCTGAGGCTGTGCCTGTCTTTGCGGGGGAGGAGGCTGGCTGGAGCTCTGGGCTAGGCGTTGTGATGCTGAGCGTTCTATTTGGACCTTCTCCTGAACCTTCTTCAACGGCTACGTCTGTTGTTAGCTCTTGTCCTGATATAATCACCGCCTTGTTTAACTCACCACATCGTCGTCGTCTGCTTCTAGAGTAGACGGATCCGGCATGGGTCCGTCCATGACCCAGCGCTTCGACTCGTACTTTGTGCGGATAAAGTTCTCAATCTTTGCCTCCGACGGCACATGGCCAGGCGCCAGTTTTGACTCCCAGTATTTGTTCGCTCGCGCATTTCCCCATTTCAGCACGCTTTGGAGTTGCTCGTCGGTCCAGGTATCAAGATCGACTGACTTGACTTTACTGATATGTGTTCCCATACCACGGTGAATTCCCGAACATCGGATGCAGATGAAGACGCCCAAGTTCCAGCTGGCCCATCGTGGGTCTGCAGCGACCATTAGCGAAGGCGCATAATATTGAAGGCCCAGAAAACATACGCTTGTTCCTCTTGCAGTCTGAGCAAGTCTTGTTGCCCTCAAGCTTCACCAAGTTCTTGAGCGTCGCACGATTTTGTTCTGCCCGATCAGCGGCAGGGTTGGGCCGTCGCGACATTGTGGGGTAGACGGTCGTATGCGGAGACTGTGTTCGGAGTGCGTAAGCGTAGTCGTATTTCAACGCGTGTGTCTGGAAGAGGAGAGCAGTATATCGCGAGGGCACGTGTCAATCGAGGGTGGAATTGGGCGAGTGGGGTTAGGTCGTTTCGTTCGTGCCTGCCCAACCGTTTGATGTTTCTCACCCATGACGCTGGGCTTGGCATTCGGTACCGCCATCTCACATGCCAGGGGCTTGCTTTTCTGTGGAATGGTGTGTGTCTTGGATTATCATGTATGAAAAGCAGAATAGTTCATCGCTTCTATGTAAAGTCGTATTCGACCGACAAGGACAACCCTGCTAGGGCTGAATGCTTGATGCTTGGGAACTCCTGACCCCGGGTATCACAATGGTGGTATGCTACAGTATGTTACATGCGTCGACCGCCAGAAAGCTTGCTGTATGCAATGCAGTTATAGGACTCAAGCGGGACGAAATCTCCAGTCGTCCCAGTCCTCGTCGTCGTCAGACTCGCTCTCTCCGTCTTCTTCAGCGGAAGGAGCTGGTTTGACACCATCCTCCTCTACCTTCATTATCCCACCAGAGGTGGAGCGAAGGGCCTCTCTCTGTTCGCGTAGCCGCTTGACTCTCTCTTCGAGACCTTCCATTTCCTCGAATTCATCTTCCAGTGCCCGCGCAGCATCTTCCTTCTCGCCCTCCATCTCCTCGTCCCGTTTCGCCCGTTGTGCACTCTGATCCTCACGCGCTTGTGCGGCGATCTCTGCGGCTGTCATGGGCGCAGCTTCAATGACAGCGCCCGAGTAGGCTATTTTGGTGGGCGGAGGTGACGCGGGTTTTGCAGCGTTCATCTCGTTCAAGAAGGCATCGAGCTCCGCTTGAGCTGTAGCATCGAGTGGCGGCTCAGCAGGCTTTGGTGGTTCTGATGGCTTGGTGTCTTGTATTGGCGCGCTCTCCTGGGCTGTGGCTTCCGGCGCGACCTCTTCATCATCTTTCGCAGCCCCAGCGTCGAAGAAACCCGCTGGCACACCGGCCTCCTCCTCTGTTCGCGTGCGTTTCCTCTCCTCGACCGTGTCATCCGCAGCTTTGCGCTTTTTGGACGTGGGTGCAGTCGCAGGAGCTGCCGATTGCTTTTGGGGCTTTTGCGCCTGTTGCCGTGCTGCGCGCTGTTGTCGCAAAAGAGCTCGTGCATCAGCCATGTTGATTCGGATGATATTCGGTCTGAAGATAAGTCTGTATGTGTCGCCGCGAACGCGTGTACAGTTTAATTCCACCGTTGTTCTTGTTGAGATTCTGGCGCTTCTCCAATAGCTCCGAGCATCCAGCCCAGCCGGCAGCCGCGCAAAGGGTCCACAGCTCGCTAGTGGCAAGGATTACGGCAGCCAAGACATCGGCAAAACGATGTGTCAAAGCTCCACCTCCTCACTGACACCACTCAGTCCGACACCACACGACACATTGCGACTCGGTATCGCAGTCCTCTCACCTCCCACTGCTATTTCCACAGTGCGCTCACGATCAAGCGCATGCATTGAGCTTCCATCACTTCAAGTTGTCGTCTCTCTCGCGCCCTCACATCGCGTGGCACCGGCTCCCGCACTCGGCAGGTACGCGCAAGAGGCAGTTGCGACTCATAATCGGCAGTCGCACGACGCATCGCGCCTTCTGTCTGTACAATTAGGCAGGAACGCCCGTTCGCACTCGTTTACTAGTTAGAGGCCGGTTCATACGGCGTGTCCGTGGACCCGCAGTGCGACGCGCAAGGCAGGATTGGGGCTTTCGTAGAGACTTTTTGAATCTTGTTTCGCACATAGCATAAGCTGCACTCGTGGTATCGTCTATATTGAGCCCATCACCCGTGTCCTACACCATGGCCGGTAAGCAGACACCATCTACGCGCCTCCGTTCCATGAAGCCACCAAGTCGCGCCCCTCATGGCACCAGCACCACCACGCGCGCGCCCATCCCCAAACCTAACGCTGATGCTGATACTGCCACTACAGACGAAATTCGGCGTTCTGGCCGCGCCAACAAGGGCCACCACACCAAGAATCAAGATGCGCTCGACGAGCCCTCCCCCGCTCCCAAGGCCAAGGCAGCAGCACCAGCACCGCCAGCCTCGGAGACAAAGAAAGGACAGGCGCATACCAAGAAGGGACAAGCAAAGACACAACAACAGCGGGCACAATCGACGCAGTCCGCTGAAAACGATGACGATGAGGAGGAGGAAGACGCCATCATCCGGTGTGTATGCGGTGACCAGCGCGACATCCGTGGACGCCAGATGATCTGCTGCGACAAATGCGAGGCCTGGCAACACAACAAGTGCTTGGGCCTACCCGAAGGCGACTTCTGGGAAGGCAAGAACTACTACTGCGAGCAGTGCAAGCCCGAAGATCATGTCGAGCTTCTTGCTGCCATGGCGCGCGGAGAGAGACCATGGGCGCGCAAGAAGGGCTCCAAGCCGAAGCCCCGCCCCAGCGACGTCAAGCAGGAAGCCGTTTCGGAGAAGGCGAGCACACCGCAGGCCTCGGTGACCCCCTCGCAAACCGTTCCAGCTCCTGTCGAGACTCCCACGTCTCCGCCTGCTCCGGTAGCTGAACCCACACCAGAAGCTTCCAATGGACATACAGAGCCCAAGGTATGTTGCCACCATCCAACTGGACGTTCAAAAACTTACATACTTCAGCAGGAAAACAAGAGTCAGCCACAATCGCCTGTCGGCGAGAAGCGTCGTCACGAGCCTGCCGCCGAAAAGGCCAATGCCAGCAAGAAGCGTAGAAAGTCCAGTCACCACGAGAGCAAGCCTGCTTCTCAATCAACTCCAGTTGGTGACATTGATGCGCTGCCGCAAAACCAGAAGGCTGTCGCAGAGAAACTTCGTGATACCCTGGCACCATTGATTAGCACCGCCTCCGACTCCAGGGGATACCGCATACCTGATGGCCAGACAGCCAAGTCTCTCGCCACCAAGCTCACTCTTCAAATGAGCCACGCTGCTTTTGAGCTCTACGGTGAGCCCACGGGTTCATCTTCGCCATACTTTATCAAAATGCGGGCCATTATGTTCAATGTCAAGAAGAACACGGTCCTTGTAGATCGCCTCCTATCTGGAAGTCTGAAGGCCGATGACCTCGTGAGCATGGAGGCGGAAGAGATGGCGAGCGAAGACAAGCAACGCGAGTACGCCGCCATGCGCGAAGCGGCTGAGAAGCAGATGATCTTAACCGAGGAGACTGGACCACGACTACGCAAGACACACAAGGGCGAAGAGCTTGTTGGCGAAGACACCTTCGAGAATGACCATGACGACTTCAAGCAGCCCAGTCTTCGCGAGCGCGAGAGCATCACCGAGGACACAGCTATGCAGTCACCTATCGGAACACGCCCACCAGAGAGTCCTGCAGGCGCACGACCATCTACTGGGAATGACGCTTCGCAGGCCGAGCATGCACGACGGGCATCGGCCAACTTTGACATCAACTCTGTCTTCGACAAAGTCAGATCGCCGCAGCATGATCAGCAGACATTCCTTCAGCGTCGCCAGAGTTCGATGCATATGCAAGACAAGCCTCAAGCCGCCGTGGATGACGCGGACGTTGATCGTTTGCTCAAAGATGAGGACAACGATGTAGAAATGTCAGGTTATTCCTCGGACCCGACAGTATGCTGGCAAGGATCTATCAACATGCAGTCAATGGAACCCTTTGACGCTGTTGCTAGATTCGTCGCTGGTGGAGATTTTGGTCAGATTGTGCCTTGGGAGAAGCTGCTGACCAACATTGTGGCGATTCAAGGACGCATCGAAAGCACCAAGGGTAACGATTACATTCAAAACATCGGACACACCGAAAGCCATGAGGTTTCGATCCTTGCTATCAGTCCCGTCACCACGGACGGGCGCACGATCATGGACCATCTGTACGAATACTTCCACTCGCGTGGCAGATGGGGTGTAGTACCTGTTGAAGGCAACGACATACTGCGCGACCTCTATGTCATTCCTATCGAAGAGGGTGGCAGCAACCTGCCGCCCTTCATCGACATGCTTGAATACTGCACGATCGAGACGCCCCGCAAGGAGCACATGTTGATACTCGCCATGGTTGCTAAGCTGCCTGAGGTCAAACCTCAGCTTCCTCCTACCCAACATTTTGAGCGATACCCAGAACAGGATATCGCAGCCGGTCAAGCTCCTCAGCCCGTTCTCAACAACGGTCCATCTCCATTCACCAACCCTCATGCTCCGCAAATGTCGCCTGTCAGTGCTGCCTATCCACAGGGCCAGTACGGTAACCCATTCGCCGCGCCGCCTGCAAATATGGTCCCTATTCAACAACCGACGCCGCCAATCAACGCACCGCCACACCATCAGATACCCAAGGCACTTGAGATTCTTGGTCCGTACATTGATTCACCTGTCATCGTTACCATTCTTGGCTCCAGCCTGTCTCAGAACTCGGCGGTCTCGGAACTACAGATGCTCAACCTCAGGCACATTGTCGAAACTGTGCCTGAAGCGCGCGACAACATAACGGTGCTTACAAACCATTTGCGCTCAAAGAACGAGTCAAATGGGCAACAACAGGCACAGCCATCTGGACCCCCTTAGAAAGTGGCTGCAGAGATGCTGGTCATGTTGAGGCTTTTCAACATTGACCTCGGATGAATGGGACGCGGAGGACTTCAGATGCGGTGTTTCGCGGCGCTTGGATAATACACGTTTTTCTGAAGTAAGGCTGGGGCTTGGGTGTTGGCGGCGAGCGGTCGGGGCGGCGCTCTGTTTTTCTTGTATTAGATACCCACATGTGGTGTAAACTGTGTTTGTGCGATGAGAGCGGAGCGGTTTTTACCCTTCGTTACCTCATTGCTTGCTTACTTGTACGCTCATTGCTTCTTATGTTCACAAATATCACACGTTGTTCTTTACTCAATTTCACATGCAACGTACATCAACCAACCGTGGCAATGCATGCGCAATATCAGGCGTCCAGCTCCCGCATTATCGTCCTTCAATCTCATCCTCTTGTAAGCCGTGCGATAAGCGAGATTGACAGTTCACTGCAATCTATACTTTTTCTTCCGTGTTCTTTTTCTTACTAAATGCAGTAATCGTAGGCCCCCCTCCTTCGTCTACCCTTGTCTTCGCATCCTCGTATCTCGCTCTCTTATGATGACACATGAAAACTTCTTCTCCCCCGCTACGAGTCTGTCTGCAGTCAGACCTTTTCCTTAATCTGGTGACATGCGTGCATCCATGTCAACTGTGTAGCTCTGCGGACGCATCCATAATCTTCACTTCCCTCGTGAACTATTTGGCGCGGGATTTTGAGTGCCTTAGCTCTGGACGGCGGTATGGATGGTATACCCGTTAATGTGGTGAAAGGACGGAAGCAATCGACATGTCTTTTCTGGCTTACTCTATACGGTATATTGAGTCTGTTGAGTCGCGTTGAAAAAGAAGGCGGCATATGTGGTGTAACAGCCAAAGCTGTCGGGTTCTTGTGCAATATGTACTTGTTGCACAAACCCCCATGTGAAGAGTGAATGCTATTGAGGAACGAGAATCGACACCTTTCACTCGATTTACTGTATACGGTATATTGAGCATCTCGATACGAGGGGTGGAAGGAGCGTTGCGGAGGAACGCGCAAGTCCTGTACGACTGTTGCGTCCAATTCGATACTGGAAGGCGATATCTCCGGAGGCAGACAGCACCTAGAATCAACACTTTGCCCGGAAGTTTCTTAACTGGGTAAATTTGGCGGGGTTGGTTTGATGACTGCAGATGTTGTACTCTGATGCAGGCTACAGTACATGCAGTACGCGGTCTATGGTTACACAGCATTGGGTGACAAGCAATCGATTGTCAATGTAGAAGTTACTAGATATGGTGTCTTCCGTCTGCAGCTCGCTGAACTGGGGGTAGAGTCCTTGCCATGATCGATGGTCAATGAGAACTTGCTTGATACAGTATTCTCTCCTTGTGACCAATTTCTACAGATATTGGGGGAACTTGTCTAACGTGGTACCCCCTCTGATCGACTTCAAAGCCAGCTCCCTTCCACGACTCAATTCGACGCGGCGTCGGGGCACCGGGTCGTTACCATGAGCTGCGATCAATGGCCTTCGAAAGGTTGCCTGATGCGGTATCTAGCCATGTCTAAGAGTTTCGATTGGCCTTACGCAGACAGAAAATTGGGATCGGGATTTTGCTAAACCGTGTAGTATCTACTTAGTGGATTTAGTAATTACTAAAAATCGGCCATCATCGATGGTTTTCGGCAAATTTCCCGACGCGGTAGCTAGGAAAGTGGGGCGACCAATCAAAAGACTCTGTGCGGTCCGCGCTCCACTGAACACACATGGGCACTCTTTGTGTATCGCACCCGAAACGCCGGCACCACTTCACATGCCATCACACTTCATGTACAGCTACCGTACAAGCAAACGAAAGTTGGGCGGTATTTTCTGTGTTTCCTACATCATGCAGTCTCTGCTGACGACACGCATCTTGAATTCGCCACTCAACCTTTGGCATTTCCAGGCATGCCTTCCTACCTGATATCCAGGCATGACGATATGTGGAATATAAGCGCAGGGAGTATTCCAAATGAGAGATCAACATCGCCAAGATAACACCAGCGATAGATTGAGAATGAGAACGAGAATGAGAATACGAGCGCAGTCATCAACGCACGTCGCAACAAGTACTACATCCGGCAGTGGAATTACATGTCCGTAACCCGACAACAACGCGAGACCGAGCACTACTATCCACACATTTCACAGCAAATACTACATGTAGTAAGAGGAGATGATGAGATCCCAAGTTCTGTACGAGATAACAAATGCGCACACCGATTAGGTGCGGAGCTTGCCGCGTGCGGCAGTGAACGCGAATCCGAGTAGGGCACGGTGCTACCCATCCTACACACGCTATGGTGGTCGAGACACAGCTAGCACTTACTTATCAGCAAAGAGCACAACTATTTGAGGTAGGGGATGCGAATGCGAGTGCAGTTATCGATGGATTTTGAAATAATTACTGCTCGCGACGTTTGTGTTTTGTAAGGCGAAGCTAGTGTCGTTGTACATGGAGCCAAGATGGTTACTTATTTCCCGAAACATGGATCTCCTAGATGGTAATACGAACGCGACTGCAGTGATCGATGGACGATGGATTGTTTACTGCTTACGGCACGCTTAGAGTGAAGATTAAGGTAAAGGTAGGTCTGCCCAGCAATATTGCTTATTTGTCATTGACAGCGCATCCCGAGAAACTGAATACGAATGCGCACGCAGTGATCGATGGATCTCCACAATCAATACTGTACACGGTAATTATATGGCGAGTCTAGAGGTAGAAGGATCAATAATCATCAAGCTAAGATGTTTACTTATTCGTAATAGACATGGTATCCCAAATAGATGAATACGAACGCGGGTACTGTCATCAACGGAAAACGAACAACTTACCATACATGGCCATATGAGACCGCTGGAGATGAGGCTTGATATTCAGCAGCAGGGTCAACCCTATTACAGCCGCTGTATGTGCGGATAGATCCGCTAAGCCTTGTTCCAATGTGCGGTGTGGACGTGGCGTGAAGCGAAAGCGAGTGCTACGACCACGAAAGAGAAAGAGAACCAGAACGAGAAAGAGAGTGCAGTGACCTTCAAGCAACAAAACCATCCATATTTGGTCGAAGGAACGAAGGACGCAGATGCGAGTTCTGAATTAAATGACGGATGCTAATAGCTACTTTTGACCATAGAAAGATCTATCGCATGAGTGTTTTCAAAAATAAATATTTCTCTCCTGCTACCACGTTCATAGGAAGACCACAGCTGTATAAAGCGACCAAGGACCATGTGAGAAGAAACTGCTGCATTCGAATCATCGTTATCTGGTCATCCGGTATTCTGTAACAGCGTTTTGTCTAAATTCTGGACGTTTACCAGAACAATACAATCCCCAATACAACCCGGGCTCAGGAAAGATATTTAGAACAAGAGGTGAAACACCTTATGCCCATTTTCCTATTTCTGCCTAGGATGGGCGTTCATTGTCCTCTATTCAGCACCGCCGCGCTCACACCCAGGCCAGAAAGCATTTAGTGGAGAATACTTTCTTGTTTTTCTTTTCGAGCGGTATCTATGACGGAACCAATTTGCAGGGAACGGTGAAGAACTGCAAGGATTTCGTCGCATCGATACTGGATCTCAAGTAGTAGACACGACTAAACCAGGGAAATCACCCCTGTTGGTCATGTCCCATCTACATCAATCACACTTGTGAAAGAAGGACAAGGGGTAGGAAGGTTTTATTTATTAGCATATGTCTCTGACGAGTCGTATGCTGGCCTGGGGTGATGCGAAGAGTAAAGGGGAGATGAAGAGAGCCTATAGATGGCGGAGAGGTCTTTATAGAGTTCGTGGGGAGCAGATTGTGGTTGAGAGTGTGGAGATACTGGTAAGCGGAGGTATGATAACGAGGTGCTCAACGCGTACCAGTGGTACTGTAAGTACAGACCCAAAATACTAGAATCACGGGTATTGCAAATCACTACGTCAAACTTCAGTAGTATTACGTCGAGCTGGACTTCAACATACGTATTGATTGCATGGGTATACTACTCCTTCAAATGACCTTTCAGACCCTCTTTGCCAACATTCATCGCTCTCTCAATTTCTGCTTCTTCCTCACGTAACCTGCCCTTTCCGTAAGCTAGATCGCGCTCTTGCTTTCTCTTCTCCTCGCGCACACGTCTCTCGCGGTCCGCGAGTGCCTTCTCCCTTCGTTCGCGCTCAGCCCACTTCTTCGCACGCTCGGCCTCTTCTTCAGCGGAGTAGACAACACCCTCAGGCGCAGGTGGCAGAGTGGAGATGTATGTGTTGATAAGACCATCTCGTGTTGATGGCGGGAGAGAGATATAAACGAGGTCGCTGAGCACGGCAGAGGGCAGGGTATCAATGGTCGTGGAACGATTGAGCAGAGCGAGAGGCTGGGCTCGTAGAAGCGCCGAAAGATCAGATTTTAGATCGGATGACCGCATGGCTAACCGCTTGATGTGGTCGCGATACAGCTTCTCCTTGTCTTTGTCCGGAAGTTTGGTGTCCTTCATCTCAGGCTCTTTCTTGTATTTTCGGCGGAACTCGGGCCAGTAAAGCTTCGGTGTTGCGTGCTTGTCGAGGAAGGCCAAGTACGGTATCCGCGGATCGCGTTTCGCCTGTCGAGCCTTCTCTTCCTTCAGGAACTGAGCTTTGTCGCGCGACCACTCGTTAAAACATTCTTTTCGCGCCGCCATGTTTGGTAAAGCCTTGTACCGCTCATCGTCAAATAACACACCGTCTTCCAAAATCTTATCCCAGGGCGCGAACGGGCTGACCTTGGTGTCGTCCAGCAGCTCCTTGAAAAGCGCCTTGCAGTCTTCTTCAGATAATGCGGGTTCATCATCGTCGTACTGTTCGTCGTAACCTTGGTCCATTTCCATCTCCTCCATTTGTGCCAGTTGCCATGCAAGATCGTCATCTTCCTCAGGCGGTTGGCCTCCAGATGGCTCTTCGGTGCGCTGCCGCTTTTGCGCGTGGCCTGACGCTTCGCCCTCA